AAAAGAAAGGAAGGAAGACAAAGAAAGGAAGGAGAGAAAGAAAGACAAAAGGAAGGAAGGAAGACAAAAAGGAAGGAAGGAAGGAAGAAAGAAAGACAAAAAAAGGAAGACAAAAAAAGAAAGAAAGGAAGAAAGACAAAAAAAGAAAGGAAGAAAGAAAGACCAAAGAAAGGAAGGAAGGAAGGGAGGAAGGAAGGAAGAAAGATGAAAAAAGGAAGGAAGGAAGAAAGACAAAAAAAGAAAGAAAGGAAGGAAAAAAAGGAAGGAAGAAAGAAAGGAAGACAAAAAAGAAAGAAAGGAAGACAAAAAAAAGAAAGGAAGGAAGAAAGAAAGACCAAAAAAAGGAAGGAAGGAAGGGAGGAAGGAAGGAAGAAAGAAAAAAGAAAGGAAGAAAGACAAAAAAAGAAAGGAAGGAAGACAAAAGAAAGAAAGGGAGGAAGGAAGGAAGGAAGGAAGAAAGAAAGAAAAAAAGAAAGGAAGGAAGACAGAAAGAAAGACAAAAAAAGAAAGGAAGGAAGACAAAAGACAGGAAGGAAGGAAGAAAGGAAAGAAGGGAGGAAGGAAGGAAGAAAGAAATTAGCTAGGCATGGTGGCACATGCCTATAATGCCAGCACTCGGGAGGCTGAGGCAGGAGGACCTCGAGTTTGAAGCTAGCCTGGGCTACATAGTGAGTTCAAGGACAGCCTAAATTACATAGAGAGATTCTGTCTCAAAAAACAAAAAACAAAACAAAAAAAATTAGGATTTGTTAAAAAAAAAAACCTATAACAAAGACATAAAATATATACTTTTTTTCTGAGACTAGACCTCACTACGTAGCCCAGGCAGGTCTGGAACTTGTGGCAATCCTCCTGCCGCAGCCTCCTGAGTGCTGAGATTACTGGTGTGCCCCACCACACCAGCTTTATGTACTTTCATTGAGAGAAAAGTACTATGTCTAAATTTATAGAATTAGCTGATTTTTTTAATTTGTACTGGGGATGGAACTTGGGCCCTTGCGCCTGCAAGGCAGGTGGTGGTGGAACCACCGAGCTAAATCCCTGGCCTGAAAATTTATAGAGTTTTTAAAAATTATTTCAAAATGTTACAGAAGGAAACATCAGACAGGAATCAGTCAGGGAGAAACAGATGTAAAGCAATTATGAAGATTAATTTTTGGTCAGGAAAACTAAAACAGAAAAAGAGGGATGGAAGAAAGGAGGAAGGGCAGAGGGAAGAGAGGGAGGGTAAAAATAACAGGTTTAAACAAGTCAGAGAGGTTCTGAAAAAGTAGCAGAAGATTTGGTTTTGGGGGGGGTTGCACAAAAGAAGATGATTTACTTGAAGGTGGAGGACAAGGGAGAAAACAGAGAGATAGCAGACAGCTACTCTGGACAGAAGGAAGAATTTGAGAGGAAAATACTCCACAAAAATTCCTAAGGACAGACTTTATGAAAGAAAATTTGTTATGATCAGGTTGTTGATAACTAGAAAAATTATTTATAAGGTCATCTACAAATTGAATATTAATACACTGATAAAATAATCTATGTTTAAAGCAACAAGATTTTCTTAAAATATTTATCTCCTGGCGTCCGGCGGCGCGCGCTCCCTTTCCAAGATGGCGGCGGGCAGCGGCGGCGCGGCGGGCCCTGGTCCTGTAGCCGGAAGGAGCCTGGACAGTGACACATGCTCAAGGGCCCTGCAGCACCGCCATGGCTCATGCCGACTCCGAGAAGAAAGAAGATGGCTTTGATGATGATCACGGCTTCGAGGATCTAGGACTTGTAGCTGGCCGAAGCCAAGGAGAAAAGAAGCGCTCTTACAAAGATTTCTTAAGGGAAGAAGAAGAGATCGCTGCTCAGGTCACGAATTCTTCCAAGAAGAAGTGGAAGGAGCTGGAACCCAGGGCCAGGCTGAGCAGCATTCCTACCCAGACTGTCCTCTCATTGTCCGTCCTTGTGCTCTGCGGTTGCAGGATACTGAGCTGTGCTTCTTGGGGACGGACATGCACAGGAAGAAGAGGAAGCGCTCCCCTGATGACTCCCACTATGGAGGACAGTGGTTCTTGTTCTGAGTGCCCATAAACCAGTGTGAAGGAGGAGAGGTGGAGGGCTGGTATTGTGGAGGCTTCAGCATAGAAGAACAGTCTTCATTTGTGATACACAGATATTTCTTCTCTGGAATCGGCACAAAAGAAAAAGAAAAGGTCCAGCCCGCAGGCTGCCGACACAGCTATGGACCTGTTGAAAGCGATCACTTCCCCACTGGCAGCAGGTGTCCGTCCCCCCAGAAAGGCAGGGGAGAAGTCCTCTGGCTCCTCGAGCCACGCGGGCCACAGGAGCCACTGGGAGAGTAGGCGGGAGCACCGCAGGAGGAAAGGCAGCGGGGAGCTCCCCCTGGAGGATGGCAGCTCCCACACATCCAAGAAAATGAAGCCACTCTACAGGAACACGGAGACCCTGACCCTGCGTGAGCCTGATGGCTTGAAGATGAAACTGATTCTGGCACCACAGGAGAAGGGCAGCAGCCCCGTCGAGGAGGATTCTCTCCAGTACCCTTCTCAACAAGCCGCTGTGAAAAAGTCTTCTAGGAAGTCGGCTCGGGATGAGCACGGTGCTTTCCTCCTAGGACGTGAGTTACAGAGCTTTCTGAAAACGGCCCGGAAGAAGCACAAGTCGTCCTCAGACCCGCGCTCCTCTCCTGGCCCTGAAGGCTGTGTCAGGTCAGATGCTGCCCGCTTCCCAGAACCCCAGGGGGATAACCTTGACCTTTCAGGGCTCCAGCCAATTCTAGTGGAGTCAGACTCGTCCTCTGGTGGGGAGCTGGAGGCGGGCGAGTTGGTGATAGACGATTCTTACCGGGAAATCAAGAAGAAAAAGAAGTCAAAGAAGAGCAAGAAGAAGAAAGACAAGGAGAAGCATAAAGAGAAGAGGCACTCCAAGTCCAGGAGAAGCTCGGGGCTGCCTGCTGCTGCTGTGGGAGACATCACGGTGACGCCGGGTCCCCCTCCCAGCGTGCCCTACCCTGGGGCTGCTGCTGCTGCCCCTCCACCTCTCAGCCTCCAGACAGATGGGCATGGAGAGAAGAAGAGAAAAGAGGAGAAGGACGGGTGTGTGGGGGGGAGGTAAAATGTTTTTTGAAGGGGGTGAGGTTGGTAAGAGATGAAAGTGGTCTTCCTGAGTGGGGGGCACACGGGGGCTCTCAGGGCTGGGACCTGCTGGAATGAGGAAGCGCTGCCCGTGGCCCCGACTGTGTGGTCAGAAATAAGAGCAGTCTCAGTTATTTATGGCTCTCTCAACAGTGATTCCCCACTGTGCCAGTCATAAGCTGAGGAAAAAGCTTCTGTGGCTGGTTCTTAGAATTCACAGAAGGAACCGATCCGTTTCTTTCCCTCAGCAGTGCTGTCTGCCAGGGCAGTTGAAAGGTGTGCAAAGATGTCTTAGGAATTCATTTTGGAAAAACAGGTCTTCAGAATCAGTAGCGTTCTGACCTGTCGGGGCCTCAGAAGAGGCCAACAGCTTCCCGAGGGCTGGTGTCGGCCACTAGGGGTTGTCTTGGTGCCAGACATGTTCTTCCAGCACCTGAGCGCCTGCTACTGTAGGTGCTGCCCAGAGGGACAGAAATGAACAGGACAGAGTTCTGGTTTTGGGGGCCCACTGTCCCCTGGAGGTGGGATTAAGGAAAGTCAACTGGCTCTGACCCCCCCACACACACACAACTGAGGTTTCTAACAGTTTATTTTGTTTGATTTTAGATTAACAGGTATGACTCAGCCGTTCTTCTACTGCGTGTTCCCAAAGGAAAGGAATCACTGGCTGGTAACGATATCAACTTTTAAAAGGAGGCACGGACATTGCAATAGTGCATGAGCCTGTCAGGTAAAAGGGCCGAAGACCAAGACCAGACCAGGCCACAACAAGCCTTTATTAGGGGAATAGATCTGCCGGGCTGTCTCTGAACAAAGGAGAGACAAAAGCAATATGGCCGGGGCAGGGAAGGGTCTTTTATAGAGACTGGGGTGGGGTTGAGTGAGGTAGTGACTAGGGAATGGAGGAGCCGGTGATGTCACTAGGAGGTAGGAGGTGAGCGAGTATTAGGTTACTCTCTAGGCAGGAACAGGGGCATGCTGGGAAGAAGGGTTTATCCTTTGGTGGGAGCAGCCATCTTGGCATGACGTCACACGGGAGGGGGCAAGGCACGACGGGAAGAGGGCAGCTACTATACATAATAGCTGCTGAGGTGGTGGAAGACCTATCAGAGCCTAGCCAACATGTGCTAAGTAAAATATGCTAGAACAGAAGACAAACACTACATGACCTCACTATGTGCAGAATCTGTCTTAAAAGCCTAGTAGAAAGGTGGCTGCCAGGGGAGGGAAGTAGTAGGGATGGAGAGACAGAAGCCAAAGGCCACAGAATTTCAATTATGTGGGATAAATAGGCCTGGAGGCCTGGAGATCTAATGTGCACTGCAGGGTAGCAAAACTCCACCTCCATCCTGTTAGGGTCCCTGTTGTGTCCAAGAATTAAATTGATATAAGATAGATTAACCGGAGAAAGCCACACAGATGTATTAATGCAAGTTTCACGTGCACAGGAGCCTCACAGGGAAATGGAAACACCAGATTGGACGAGGACAGGAAACTGCACGAGGCCGGGCCTGGGCTCCAGTGAGCGACTGCCGGGAGCAGAGGCCGGCTGACAAGGTGGGCTTCGTTTCGGCCCTCCGTGGTAAGAACACTGCTCTCTTTGTCCTACCACAGGGAAGGGACCCCTAGCAGCTTCTGGGGAACAGCTATGCGGGAAGGGAGGCGAGAGAAGAAGGGAAAAAGAAAAAAAGAAAAGTGAGAGACAGCAGCTGAGGCGGGGAGGCTCGGAGAGGCGCTTCTGGCTCGGAGCGGGGGCCTGCGGCCACAGGGCGGAGACTCGGGCTGACGGAAGCCCAGGACCCGAGGCTGAGGCCGTCGGCCGCGAGACAGGGCTCAGGTGGCCCGGAGCCGCGAGCCCGCCAGGCCCCAGCACGGCGCCCTCCCGGCCCGGCGCGGCCCGCGGCTCTGCCCCGGTGGCGCCGCCCGCTGCCCGACGGACCAAGTGATGCCGCCCGCCTCGGGGCGAGGACCCGCCCGGACAAGGACCCGCCGGGACAGACAGACGCCAGCTAGCGGCCGCCTCCGGGGTCTGCGCGGGCCCCGGCTCCAGACCTCGGCTCCGCCTCCCGACCTCGGCCCCGCCCGCCGCCGCCTCAGCGCCCGGCCCGGCCGGCCCGTGAGCACCGTCGGCACCGCCACCTGTCCCGAGTCCCCGGTGTGGCTTGCAGGCTGAGCGCCGAGGCCGCCCAGTCCGGACCCGGGAAGGCTCCGCTGGACAGACCTCAGCGCGCAGGCGCCGGCGGGGGCCACACTTCGCCGCCGCCCGGCCGCTGAGCCCCTCTGCCCGCCAGAGCTCAGCTGCTTCTCCGCGGACCTGCTCCGGCGAGCCCGCTCCAGGGGCCACTCCTCCAGGGAGAGGCTCTTCGCAGCAGTATTTGTGAAAGCAAAGATCAGAAATGACAAAATCTTCACATACTAACAATAAATTCCTCCTACAGCCTTAAAAACAAAAATATCAATCACATCATGTAAAAACTAGTAAGAGCTGCAGCACATTGAAATTATTTTATTTTTATTTTATTGCAAACTTAGTAGTACTTACTACATTCAGTCTACTGTATGAATATTAATGAATTTAAGACCTTAAAACAGTCCTGGGGCCGGGGATTTAGCTCAGTGGTTTTGCTGCCTGCTGCGCAAGCCCAAGGACCCGAGTTCCATCCCTGGTACCAAAAAAAAAAAACACCAGTCCTAAGAAGTAAATATGTTATTACAATTCCCATTACTTATCCCAGATCACATTTGGTTTAGTCTGACTTAAAATAGGAGTCAAATGGCCCATGAGGCAGGAGGATTGCCTGAGTTTGAAGCCAGCCTGAACTACATAGTGAAACAGTGGCTCCAACCCCCACCCCCAAAAAAGAAAAAACGGAGAAGCAGGAAGGGGAGAAGTTGTTAAACGGTCCACAAAACACTCACTTGGAAGGACAGTATGAGGTATTTCGAATATTTTTCTCCCATATATAATAGTGACACATTCATAAGAGAACCTTGTGGATTGAATTATGTTAGCTGAGCTTAAAATTGTACATGTTTTAACTTCTGCCATCATCCTCTGGATGGAGAGGTTCCATGTGCTCATTAATCTTTCCAAGTGATTGATTTAAAATGATTCATTTTTCTCCTCTTACAAATATACTTACAAGGGCTGGGGATTTAGCTCAGTGGTTCTGGCACCTGACGGGCAAGCGCAAGGACCCGAGTTTGAAAGTCAGTACCCCCACCCCCCCAAAAAGACAAAACAAATATACCTACAAAGCAGTATCAGCAAAACGCACTAATTCACTAAAACTACTCCAGTTTTCATACAACTGCAGATCTGAATGAGGGTCCCTTTTATTATAACCAGTAACAAGTCACTGTGAGATGCTTCCTTCCAGCTGCAGATGTTGCTATAGCAGTAGTAATAGTAACATTTATTACGTGATTTAAATTATTACATGTAGTTCTAAAATAATCCCGTGGAATAGGTGTTTCCCCCCCGCAATGCTGGGGATTGAACCCAGGTTACATGCTCTACTTTTTTTTTTTTTAAGGCAAGATCTTTCTTTGTAGTCCAGGCTGGTCTCAAACCCACTATGGAGCCCAGGCTGGATCCTCATGCCTCTTGAGTGCTGGGATCACAGGCATGCACCACCATGCCCGACACAATAACCGTTTTACAGAGGAGGAAACTGAGATGCAAAGATGTTAGACAGTTAGTGCGCTGGACAGGCAGTAAGTAGCAAAACTCTCTAACTTCACAGCCAGGCAGTGCAGCTTTCCACTGCCATCAGTCTTCTGTCTCAGGCTGCCACTGGAGGCAGCGTGGTTACGTTAGCAAAGAGCAAGGGACAGAGGAGCTAAATAAAGGAAGCTTGTTACGATGTTAAGTGATCTCAGCTCAGAATTAATTATTGTAATTACAGAAATTATAAATAATATCCATTTTACTATGTGTACTAAATTATATTTACATAGCATTTACAAGTGGTTAATAACTATCCTGAACAATACTAGATTGCATGGCTACTGTTTAATATCAAATTATTAAACAGATGGTGATACACTGTTATAAAAGACCACAATACCACTAAAGGGTGAAAAGTATGGGAAAAAATGTAAAAATAGGAAGAGTACTTGTAACTTAGTACCAAGTTTTTCAAAAACACATAATTGTAGGTTGACTACACATAAAATGTTTTTTTTGTTTGTTTTTTTGGTACTGGACATCGAACTCAGGTCCTTGTGCTTGCGGATCAGGTGGCAGAACCACTGAGCTAAATCCCCGGCCCTAAATATGTTTTTTAAGAAGGCATATACATAGAAACAAAAACTAAAAGGTAAATGTTATGTCTTACATCTAGATGTCCCCCTGAAGCCTTATGCACTCACGGGTACCATTTTTGGGAGGTGGCTGGATCATGGGTGTGTGGTACTGGATCAGTCCACTGATTGGTTTACCATGGTTCTGGATGTGGATGATAGAAAGACCCACCCCAGGTGTGGGTGGCACCAACCAATAGGCTTATAGCCTGAATGGAATAAAAGGGAAAGGGAGACTCGCTGCTGGCTTTGTGCCTGCCACACCATGGACTGTTTCTCCTCTGTGATTTCTCTCTGCCATGCCACCCTGCCTTAGAGCCAGGCTACTATGGACTGAAACCTCTACAAACTGTAAACTAAAATAAACCTTTCCACTTTTAACTTGTGGTTGTCAGGTATTTTGTCCCAGCAATGAGAAAATAACTAAGACAGTAATGTAAAAATTAAGAAACTAATTTTTGTTTAGTTGTAGTAATATACATAATACAAGCAGGGGGTAAAGGATTGTTCGCCTTCACTCAAGGGAACCTCAGCGATGTCCCAGGCCCAACCCCCCTGACCTTTGTCCTAAGGCCCACTTCCTAAAGGCAGAAATAAGAAAAGACCTCTGGAAATTTCTGAAATTCCAAACCAGGACTCATGCATGCTAGGGCAGCCCGCATGACCTAAATGACCTTTCTTCAGTAGGAGCTCATTAAAGGTTAGTACATGTGAACGGTATCTCATGCATTCAATTATAACGAAGAGAATCATGGGAAAGGACATGCACAATAGATACCACTGACATCACACAGCACCCTGTCAATCATGTCACTCGTGCTCTGAAAGGCCCAATGGGAGGTGCCCTAGCCTGGCACAATATTTTAAATTCTTAAGCCCAATGTCCATTTCCTTTCTACTGGCACGAGCCTGTTCTGCTTGCTCTGAGTGTACCTTCTCCCTGTACTTCACTAAACTTAGCTGCTCTTTCCTTACCATTGAGTGCAGAGTCTAACTCTTCATTCATCACGCACAAGAACCTGGGGACCTGTCCCAGGACCCCATCACCATGGTAACAGCACTAAGGTATTTATTTTTCTAGGGGAAGTTGATATTTTGTAATTGAGAAGGAACCAAAAGATGTAGAGAGGTGGGAAGGAAAGAGAGGAAGGGAAAATAAAAAGAATTAAGATGTGTTATGCACATGTACCAACTCCCCATGATGAATGCAATTGTTACGTATTGCAAACATGTACTAATAAAAAATAGAAATTAAAAAAGGTATTTTTCTATTTAGAAAAAATTTTAGTGGTATATTACATTTTCCTACAACAAAAAATAAAAGAAAACCTAAAGGCTTTTGGAATCATTTCTCTGTCCATCCACTTTCTTGAATAGTCTCCAAAGCAGGCCCTCTGCCAAGCTAACTGATGGCAAGCTAATATGCCAATTCCCCTTATAAGATCAGTTTGGGTTCAATTTTACTGCATCAATTTAAATAGTCTTTATTACAGATGATAGGCTGTGCTGAGTAAAAAATAGACTGGAAAGGTAGGTGTAGAAATGTGCAAAATGTAGAGAAAAGGCTCTGAAGGATATTTCAGTTTGGAACATGAGGCCATTTGTGAATTAAATAGGATCATCTAACCCAGGCCATGGCAAGAGATGACAGTTTAACCAGGAAGGAAAACTGCCCATCTCAGGAAGAGGATGAGAGCCAGTACCCCTCACATTAAAGTGTAAGAGACCACAGTTGTGGTTTTTGGAACCCTTAGCCTCAGCCTTGTAATGGCTCTGACTGCCCAGGCTGAAGGAAAAGCTACTATGTACATGAAGGAAAGGAAGTGAACTGTTCTGATAAGTCGAAGCTTCGTGTTTTTATTTTTTTGTTAAATGATGATTTTTGGTAACTCAATAATTTATACAGCATATTCCTAAAATAAATAATGCGACATTTTAGTCATCAACAAGGCGTTTCCAGAGTCCTGTTTATTGGGGAACTCACACGTACTGGGGAAGAGGGTGCTGCTTCAGCTGTGCCTGAAAAGGCAGGGATTTTTCCAGTTCAGAAACCAGCACTGCAAGGGACGTGTCACTGGGGTGTCTATCTCAGAAGTAACTCTGACTTATTCTGGCAGGCCCTAGGGGACACAGCCTGAAATACAGAATAAAGGAGAGCCACAGCTGCTCTGAGGACATGGTTTTGTCCCTGGTCCAGACGGGCGCGCCCCTTTCTGGTCTGTCTTACTCTTTACTTTTTCATCTGTCTCACCACCTCCAAGCCCACCCCCAGGGCTGGGGCTGTGTCCTGTCAGGGCCCTCGGAGCCCTGCAAAGACTACCCTTCTAATAGCCCAGGACCAACGGTTAACTTGTCCCTTGCTCCATGTTGGACCCACAAGAATGGATTCACAGTATTTGTGTTTTAGGGTTTGGCCTTCCAGATTTTTTAGCATGGTCAAAATAAATAACAAATAGAAATTCTCTAACAACTAAGTGTATTTGGGAATAGCATAGTAATGGAAATATGTACACTGTAGCAAACCATGAATACATTCAAGAATGCTGAGGAAAAGGGAAGTTTTTTAAGGGAAGATGGGCAAATTATTAACAATCTTCTGAGCAACAGTCACTGGCTACTAGGATCAGTACTAGGAGCGCCCTCTGTCCAGGATTAAACACACCCTGACAGCAGTGTATTATGTGTAAGGTTGTAGTGGGCTCTGTGCAAAGTTACAGTTCTCCTGTGTTTTCTGTGAACAGTTCTTGTTATCAGCCACACACACGAGATCTCCTCTTCCCAGCTTATTCTCTTCTTTTGGGGGGCTGGGGCTTGACAAAAGTAACTCCGTTTTGATTCTGACAACTTTCATAGCATCTGTACAACAGAAAATGCTCTTGCTAACATGGGATGTCCCCAGAGCACAATCTGGGAGTTTTACTCTGCCAGGGCCCTCTACCAAAGTGGTGAAGAGCACTCCGTACTCTGCCTGCCATGTGTGCGAGACCAAAACTCCACTGCAGAGGGGTGACCTGTCAAGCACTGGGGCCAAAGTAGTATTTATCTCCCTCTGATAAGTTTAGACTGCATCACCTCTAAGAACATCTGTCCTCGGGATGTCTGTATAGAAGACCAAGAGCAGAGCCTGCAGGCGTAAGTGTGCCCACCCTGAGCAGCTCTGCTCGCTGTAACAAATACTGGAGATAACCAGCTCTCTCGGAAGAGAAAAGGTTTACTTTGGCTCACAGGTTTGGAGGCTCCGGTCCACGATGGGTTGGTTCCACTGCTCCAGGGCAGTGGTGGGGAACTCTTCAGGGACCAGGTGCCACACTTATTTATCCCAAAGTGCCAACACTGCAATTAAACCTGGATACTGAGGTTTCTGTTTAGAAAAATAATTCATACATTAACATCTTTTGTCTCAAAAGAAAAACAGAATAGCCCATGTGCCATAGGTTCGCCACCACTGCTCTAGGGCCTGTGACAAGGCAGCATACTATGGAGTGAGTGTGGCAGAGTGTGCCAGGAAGTAAAAGAGACCAGAAGAGGCTGGTGTCCCCGTTGCTCCTTCAAGGGCATGCTTTGCAGAACCAGAAGACGCCCCGCTAGGCCCCACTGCCTAACATGCAGCAACCTCCCAGTACCACCAAGCTGGGGAGCAAGACTTCAAAACAAGGCTTTCGGGAAACATTTCACATGCTAACTATAGCAGGGCCCAGGCCACTGCAGACCCTCTGTGCTGGCTGATGGTGTCAACCTGAGTAGGACAAGCTCAACTAAATGGGCTCAGCACTTCCACGGCCCAGGGCAGGAAAACTCACCCTACGGTGGCTTGTCAGCTGGATGGTATAAGCGGAACTCAAAGACAGGTCTGCTTCTCAGCTCCAGTCTCCACCTTCACCTTCACCTTGGACATTCTCTCCTGGCTTCCAGCGAAGGCCCATCAGCCTCCTGATACGGACTCACACGGGACACTGCAGTGAGCTCCAGGCCTTCGACTGGATCCTTCAGATCCCAGTGTGCAGACGGAGCCTCTGCACCCTTCCTCATTGACACCGTGGGTGCCACTGTGGGTCAGTCTTGTGAATTCTTATATATATTTTTGTGTAGCTTGTGTTATATCTGTTTCTTGAGTAAATACTGACTGATACACTCTCTTATCAAGTGTGTCTGTGGCATTATTCTAGAATAAATAACTTGGACTTGTGGCATGCATTACTGAGAAAATACTTATCAGAGTCTAGGGACGAACAAAGAAAGAAAGAAATGTGTCATCTGTGGACAGATACAGTGAGCACCTAGCCTTAGAATGGTTTTGGATCTTTGTACACATTTCTTTGTTTGTTTGTTTCTTTTCTGGAGTACTGGAGATTGAACCCAGGGTTTTTTTGTTTTGTTCTGTTTTAACCCAGGGTTTTACACAGAGCTACACTCTAGCCCACCTACCTTTTTTTGAGACAGGGTCTGGCCAAGTTGTTACACTGCCCAGGCTGGGCCCAAGCTTGTGACCCTCCTGCCTCTGCCTCCCAGAGGGCAAGGATCACAGATGTGCACCCCCACACCCGGCTTCTTGCTGATTTTTTTTTTTTTTTTTTGGTACTGGGGATCAAACTCGGATCCTTGGGCTTGTGCAGCAGGTGGCGAAACCACTGAGCTAAATCGCCAGCCCTTCTTGCTGATTGTTAATGGAGTCCAAATGTATGCAGTGTGTAGAACTTCCTACTACACCTTCCTGTGCTGCGGTCCTCTGGCACCCAAGCTCCAAGGACCCTCTTACCCCTCTGCGACCGTAAGACTGTCTTTGTCGGCCATGGGCTCCCCAGCCCTCTGCTCATTCCCATGTGCTCAGGCGCTACCCAGAGCCCTGGGCTGCTTCTCTCCCACTGGGGGAATGCCCTGTCTCGAGCTCCAGTGCTGAGAACCCATCCTGGGTGCTTTGCTGCCATTTTCTCCCCAGAGAACAGAGGAAGCGGCAGCAGCAGAGAGGACCGTGAGCCGCCCCCCTCGTGTAACAGATGCTGCCACAGCGGCCTGACAGTCTCACTGCCCATCTCAGGCTGCCAGTTTGGAATTCACAGAATGGGGCTGCGACTGTCCTCCAGTGACCGTATGAGCGCTCATGCAGACGCGAGAATTACACAGGTCACACGTCCCCGTGAACTTGTTCCAATCCAGTTCCCTTTCCACTACTTTATCCTCAACTTCTCGGGAATTTCCTAAATAAATTATTCAGATCAGTTCTCTTTCATTTCCCCCTAAATTTCCCAGTTTAACTGACTAGGGGAATATTTGTTACTGGATTCTGCCTGCTCTTCCTGCATTCATCCCCTAGCTGCCCACCTTCCCTTAGAAAGGAGCAAGTCCAGAGTGGGCCTCTGTCCAGAATTCTGCAGAAGAATCCAGGTATTTCAGGAGAGCAGAATCTCTTTCTTTCCAACACCAGCAATGGGAAGAGGTGACTAAAGGAAAAGAAAGTCCTACACAGAAAACTGCCTGAGACATGTGAAAGCCAACCCTGAGAACAAACCTCTCTTCCAGGTATTACCACCAAAAAGCCATTGTTCCCCTCAAAGAAACTGCAGGGTTTGACTCTAACCTAGAGGTTGGTCCTTGTCTAATACGGCACATGGATCTGAACTAGACACTTTCCAGGCACTCAGACCGATGCAGTCACAGGAGAAAGGGTGGCTGGGGTGCCGTGATGGGAGGAGCTCCCGGCCCAGCCTGAGGCCCCAGGGCTCAGGGGCCCACTCGGATTGTGCCAGAGAGCGAGAGGGGAACTGGGGTTTGTGCGCATTGTGGCTTCTGTTTCCTGTTTCAGCAAGGTTGTTGTGCAAAAGAAAGACTGCACAAGAAGGGAAACGCTAAGGGCCCAGAGCCACGGACTGAGAATTTGCACTTTACTGGGCCCCTGCAGTAGTGCTCCACCGAGGCCAGAGCCACGATCTGCCTGCCGGGACTGCAGCGTTCTCCTGAGCAGCCGGGACCTGGAGGTAACTCAGAAGGATGCTTCTGCATCCGGACTTGGGCCTTCCAACTCAGGGTGGGGCAGAAGGTGCTCAGCCGGCCTGGCGAAGAGCCCAACTTCACTGGGTAAAGAGGGAGATACAGGGGTGGGGTGGCTTAAGAATACTGGGGTGCGGGGCAACCAAGAGAGGACCCTGTACCAAAGTCCTGAGGTGCCAGCCAGGCCCAGGATTCAGCTCCCCTCTCCATCCATTACATCAGATTAGAAGTGAGTCGTACGACTTGGGCTTCAGGGTACCCAATGAACAAGACACGAATTGTTCCGTTTTAGGGGGTTTTTTGCTTTGTTTTTGTTTTGTTCTGAGACCAGGGTTTCTCTATCGCTTCTCGGCCTTCTCTGGCTAAGATCAAGTGAGACAGGGTTTCTCTACATAGTTCAGGCTGGGCTTGAACTCACTACGTAGCCAACTCCTGGCTGCCCACCTCCTGCCTTGGCCTCCCAAGTGCTGGTATCACAGGTGAGCGCCTCCACACCTAGCCAGGGGCATGAATTAAATGACCTTTCCCAGTTCCCTTCAAGAGAGGGGTACCCTATCACATGACGCTGCCTTTCTGCCAGCCTAGGACAGGTCCCTCTCCCTGGGTTCACAGAGACCTGGATGGGAAAGGCCAGACCTCTGCAAGAAGCCATTCATTGTCTATGCTGCAGACATGGCCAGGAAGTAGGAGCAGAGAGGTGGAAGGGTAGGGGCAAACCACAGTCAGATGAGGGCAGCACCCTGGTCTGCCTGTGGCAGTGAGGAGTGACGAGAGCCTCCTCTAGCCGGTACTGCCTATTCCCCCAAGGCCTGTCATGCTGCCTGCCAAGGGTCACTCAGGGATGCCCAAAGCCTGGCCTGCTGACCTTTCTCTGAATCTACAGGAGCCAGTTTCCTCTTGGCCTTCAGCATATCCCTGACCCTCAGGCATCCCATATGGCATCTTGCTTGGAAGCAAGTCAGAATGGTCAAGACATTTCAGAAGGCTGGGAATCCTTTCACGCAGCTGTGTCACACCAAACTCCACCAGGCCTGGGGCTCTGGCACGCTCCTGTCTCAGTCCCAAGGTCTGGCCCTGAGGCTGCAGAGAGCAGAGTGGCCATGTTTCAGTGAACTTTCAGACAGCCTAGGCCAAGAGCCCTGAGACGTGACTTCAGGCCTGTTTTCCAGCCACAGGCCTTTCCTCTTCACGGTCAGGAGAGGGTGATGCTCAGCACTGGGAATGTGCCTCCACTACAAAGCCTGTGGCTAACTTGGGGTCAGGCAGGAAGGACTTCACACTCTACATTTTAATGGTGCAGTGTGGTAGGCCACTCTCCCGCTACTTGAACTTTCTGCTTGGCTTAATTGAGATGGTGATTGTATCCAGGCCACAGCGAAGTCCTTTCTCCTTGTAACCCAAACTCAGAGGTCAGAGGCCCCAGAGCAGCAAACGTGATTTTAATCACATCTCCTCCATCCAGAAAACGATGTCATCCTTCAATGAGAGACAGGTCCAGGGAATTAGAGGAAGAGATCAAACATTCTTGTTCCTGGGAACATTCGTTCAGCTTGGGGCCTTTGTCTCACAGTGCCAAGTCTTCACTACCCAACACCAGCACAGGGACAGCATTTTAAGCTTATTACTATAAAAAGCTGACATTTCTCACGCCAGGTGCCAGGCACATGGTGGACATTTTGTCACTGAATTCTCATCATCTTTCCAGGCAGGTGTTAGCTACATTTTATACATGAGGAGACACGGGCTTAGAGATGTGATAACCTGTCCGAAACACACACCGCAGGCAGTGATGGGCCAGGCTGAGTCCAGAGTCCTCCCGCAGAGCCGGGACTCTCCCCAACCTTTAACGTGGTGGAAGAGCAGGGGTGATGGCTTACGAGGTGCCACATGTGTAGGTCCTGGTCTTGGAGTTCGCGTGCACTTAATCCCAGTCTCCTCCACCCACTCACTCACAACTTGAGACTTAAAGACTTACCCCCTCAGATCCTTTCCTAAGTTTGTAAATAAGGAAAGTGAAAGATGTGAAGTCTACGGACACCACCCCAGGGGAGAGAGGAGAGAGCCATTCAGAGATGGTGTACAGAGGACAGGCACTGACAACTTCACAACCCTGCCGCAGTCAGCACCCCCATGCCCAGAGCTGCCCCTCCAACCCTGCAGGTCCAGGCAGCTGACAGTGCCCAGAGTTTGGCCACTCAGACTTCTCCCACACAGAGAGACTGCCCACCCGTGAGCCCAGAGAATGAGAGCCGTGAGCAGAGAAGGCAGGAATCCTCTACAGAATTCCAGACTGAACCAGAGTAGGCAGCCAGGGCCCAAAGGGGCAGAGAGGCTGCTACCTGTCGAGTCTGTTTGGCCTATAAATAAACCTAAGGGGCCAGAGCTGGCAAACGCTTGCTGACCAGAGGAGATGCCCTCCTCCGACTGCGGAGGAGCTAAGCCCAGGCAGTGTGATGAGCTCATGGGTCGGAGCAGAGGCAGCAGCTGAGAGGGGGAGCACTTCTTCCTCACCAGTCCCTGGGCTCGCTCCAGGGGGCAGAGAGAACAGAACTTCCGATGCTTGGGTTTCGGCTCAGCCAATGCCAACCCCAACTCATCAAAGCTACCTGAGCATTCTGGGAAATGACCAAATTTCCAGAAGGTAGGTTGGGAAGAGTGGGGGAGAGGGAGAGGCACAGAGAAGGAAGGACAGAGCAATCGGGGCTTGGGGGCTATGTGGACGCAGGTTAACGCCCCGTAGGGGCATCGAGGGCGGCCTCTCCACCCAGCCTCACTCCCGGAGACTTGTGGTCACTGCTTCCGCTGGTTTTGTTTGCCTGTCGTTTGTAAGTGCTTCACTGGGGTGTAATCCATGCGCTTACTGGTCTAGAGGGCTCAAGGCATGTCCGACCAAGGACAGCAGACTGGCACCAGACAGCCTGCTAGGAAGGCGACGCTCATCTCCACGATGCTCTGAAAGGGGCCGGGCCAGCATCGGGTGTGGCAGCTGACTGGACATTCTGAGCTGACGCGGTCTCTCCCTGAGACTGGGGAGTCCTGGGCAGGTGGTAGGTGCCTGAGGAGCCACATCAGGACAGAGGACCCTGGTGGGTTCCCCCCTAAGCCCTGTCAGGCCAGGTTGCTAAGGGCCAAGAAGGGAGCAGGGTGCCAGTCACAGGCCCGGTCACTTCCTGAGGAGGGTGAGAATGTCAGTCGGCTGCGACAGTAACGGGGCCAAGAGAGCAGCAAGATGCCGATTTTCCTTGCGGGCTGAAGGATGAGGCAGGGAGGGGTGTTGGCCTGTTTCTTTATTACGTCTAAAAAGTGAACAAATGCAAGCTATCCAGGGGCTCCACAAGCTCACTGTAACTTTTACCAGTCACCTCTCCGGTCTCCCTGACTCAGATGCCAGGTGAGATCTTTAGTCAGATCTTCCACTTTCCGAGGGGGCACGCAGACCAGAGAAAGCAGGAGTTTGCTTTTATCAGATTTTACTAGCTCAGGAAGGGCTGAGCCCGGAGTCCCGCTCCCAGGCGACACCACTGCGGCCTCAGTTGTCCACCACGTGGATGCGGCACTATGACCCTCTGCTCCCTCCCAGTGCGGGAGGTAAGTCACTTTTCTGCCCATCTCTGACTCCTCCCTCTTGGCATCTGGCAGATCCAGCGGCTATTCAGGGAACTGGAACCCAAGCGCAACAGGTGCCCAGGAGGGCAGCATGATCAGCCCAGACCCCAGGCGCTTCCTTGGCTTGGCCCGCCGGGCTGAGAGCTACGAGGCCAAGTGCGAGCGACGGCAGGAGGCCAGGGAGAGCCGCCGCTGCAGGCCCAACGTGACCATGTGCCGCCAGGCGGGGAGGGTGCTGAGGACCCAGCAGAGGGAGCAAGTCCGGAGCGCGCGGCAGCTGCAGTTCTTCAGGAGGAGGAACTTGGAGGCAGAGGAGACGGGCCAGGCCCAGCGTCTCTGGGCCAGGGAGCAAGGCCCCTGCAGGAGGGCAGGACGGACAGCTGTCTTCGAGGAGTCTCGGTCTTATTCCAGGAGGACCACTTCCCCCGCACAGCAGGTGGGCCATGTCCAGGACACACTGCTCTGGGGGGGCGGGAGAAGCGAGGGTGAGTGGACTCAAGGGCACCAGCAAGCGGCTTTCGGTAAGTCCCTCCTCCCAGCCATACGGGGACGTCTCCACGAGTCACTGACTCAGTCAGTCTGGTTGTGTGACGTTGTTTGTTTAGCTCTTTTTTGTGTTGCACTTGCCTTTTAGTACAGAAAAAATAATTCCAAAAACAATTTCATAGCTGACAGCTAGTATCGGTTTGAATTTTTTTTTTTGGTACCAGGGATCGAACTCAGGTCCTTGTGCTTACAAGGCAAGCGGCAGAACCACTGAGCTAAATCCCTGGCCCATATCAGTGTGAATTTTGGCGGCCTACACATATCTTCTGGGGCTAGCTCACAGCTCAGTTCACTCTCCTTCACTGGCAATGACTGGAGGCTGCTTAGTGCCAGACTGCACACAGGCCAGTCCTCTTGCCCAGACACACGTGCGTGCACACGGCAGCCCTCCCAGACCGAGAAGGCCTCGTCAGGGCTGGGGAGCCTCCCCTGGGCTCTGCAGGCCGCCCCTGCTCTGTGGGCTGAGGTTATAAATCCTCAGAGATGGCCTGAGTTGCACAGAAGCAGTCCCCAACCATGTGGACTGGTCTCCGGGAAGACGATGTTCCCGATTGGCGTGGGGGCGGGGTGCGCAGGAGGATTCCCGTTCCTAGAGAATCCAGTGCACTGCCATCTGACAGGAGGCAGAGCAGAGCTGAGCAGCGGTGCCAGCAGCGGAAGCGGCTGAAGCTTCCCCAGCTCGCTCACCACTGGCCTCCTGCCGTGTGGCCCCTTCCTCACGGGTTGGGGACCCCGTCCCCGAGGGCCCTTTAGGCTGCCCAGGGAGGTGCAATGTTGGCAGAAAGCAAGGTAGGTGGACATGGCCTCAGCCGGCAACCCCCTTGTGAGCACTGCAGGGTGGACGGGTCCTCTGCACTCCCGAACACGGCAGGCATGCGCTGTGCCCACAGCGGGCTCTGCTCCGATGCAGCGACGGGAGGGGCTGCTCAGAGAAACAGCCCTACAGCTCGCTGCAAAACAGAACCAAGCATCTGCGTTCTAAGGCAAGAAGGTTTCCGAATGCCTTTTCAGGAGAAAAAGATCAGGACGAAGAGGACCAGAAAGTACAGATCACTGAAGAATCCCCACTACCCAGCAGCTACTCAAGGCTTCCCTGAGATTCACCCCCCGCGCCGGACACCACCGACGGCCCCAGCCTTCCAGAGTCCTGTCACCAACACGGGCTGTGCAGTCTGCGAGAAGAAAACCCAAGAGACACAGGGCTCCGGCCCCACCCCTCTGCGCTCCCTCCCCAGCGCCTCAGCAGCCCGGCTGTACTGCGCAGGAAGCCCTGGCTGGAAGGCCAAAGACCGGAGGCTGAGGCGCAGCAAGGCCGGATCCGGAGCGAGGCTGCTCGCTGCGCTCTCCAGCCACGCTGGCTGTGTGAGTGGCCCAGGCAGATCGGACTCCAGCGGGAATGACTGCGAAAAGGCCAGCTGCCCACTGCCCGCCCCAAGGAGGCCCCTTCCCCCCAGGCAGGGCAAGGCAGAGCACAGGCAGGCGTCGCCTGTGGCTCTGGAAGCCTATGTGGATTACTTGGGCAGCTTGACTGGAAATATTATCTTAGTCCATTCAGATGGCTATAACAAATTACCACAGGCAGGGTGACTTCAATGGCAGAAACTTGTTTCTCAAAATTCTAGGGGCTGGAAGTCCTGGATCAAGGCCTCAGCAGGTCCTGTGCCTCATGAAGACGCTCGTTGGGCTGTGCAAATGACATTCTTCACATGGCATAAAACAAACAGGGCAAACTTTCTAATACCTCTTCTCAGAAGGGCACCATCTCATTCAGGTCCCAACATCATGTATGACAAACTGCTCCCAAAGTCTCCGCCTCCTAATCCTGTCACAGTGGTAGTTAGAAGGGGGGGGGCATGGGAATTTTAGGGAGACATGATCACAACAGTTTCATCTTTCTGCAGCCATGGGAAGTGTCTTCTAACAAGCTCTGGACAGTGGTTTCCAGCATCTCTCCCTTCCTTTCCAGGTGACAGGGACCAGCTCCGAGGCCTTTCCAATCCAGGGTCGTCCTCCCTCAAGTGTCCACAGGGATCTGGCTGACCTCTGCTCCTCACAAGCAGGGGCCCTTCTGCCGCGAGACTCTCCCATCAAGAGGCCACCCAAACGCCACTGTGGTAAGAAGTGCTCCCCGCATGATGGGGCTGCAGAGAACCCTGCCCCAGCATCCTGCTCAGCAGCAGTGGGGAGTCCCTGTCCCTCCCAATGCATTCACTCCTCCCCACGGGCTCTGAATCACCTCTCATCTCTCAGGCACTCAGACGAAGGCAGATGACACACAGCCAGCAATCAAGAACGATGCCAGTCTGCAAACCAAGTGAGCGCCTCACGTTGTTGACCCTGACCCTCTCACATCTCATCTGCTCCCCTCTTCTAAACTGGGTGGGGGTGGGGGCGCTTCACAGGGAGCTACATCCTTAGCCCTTGTTGATTTTTAAATTTTGAGACAGGGTCTCAGTAATTTGCCAAGTTGCCCACGCTGGGTTGAAACGTGGCGATTCTTCTCCCTCAGCCTCCCAGACTTCGAGGATTACAGGCATGCACCATCATGCCAGCCTCTTCTAGACTCCTACTTCCCTCCCTCTACCCAGCATGTACAGAGAGCAACCACAACGAATATCCACATCCACCCTCATTTAAAAGAGGAAGCCCTCCCCCTAGCCCAGAAGGGTCCCTGGGAGCAGTCAACCCACTGCCTCTACCTCTGACCTGCTTGACTCTCGTCCACTGTCTTTCCCCTTTCTCTTTCCAGTTCCGGAGTCGCAGTTCTAGATAAGGTAAGCAATCCTCACTGATGTGGATCGGAGGCACCTAAGCTCTGACACCTAGCACTGCACTACAAACTCAGGCAAGGCTGGGCGGGAGGACACTCCTTCCTGGATGGCAGGAGGGGCCGTGCAGGGACCCAGGACCCAGAGGGCCTAGCAGAGGCCAGGCGGAGGTCTGCTCTGCACAGGCTGCGTTCTACGCTTCCGGACTTCAAGGGTCTTTTCCTTTTCTCTAGGAAATCATCCAGCTTTCCGAGTACCTCAAAGTAAGTTGACTTCCCCATTCAGCTTCCCCACGCACCTCTGCCTTCTCCAGGTCAGCCTTGTCCTCTTGAATTCTTTGCCCCACAGGAGGCCCTACAAAGGGAGCTGGTCCTAAAACAGAAAATGGTGATTCTTCAAGACCTACTCTCCACCCTGATTCAGGCCTCTGACAGCTCCTGGAAGGTAAGGGGATGAAACATCTCAACAAAGCTCCCAGGCTTCTGTGTGTGTCCATCCTATCTTTGTTCCCATTCCACCCAACAAGTCAAGGGCTGTGTGACTACTGAAGAGAGAGCTGGAAAGGAGGAGGAGGTAGGGGAGGAGGAGCTCAGAACTCAAGGTCAACCGGGTCACAGCAAATACGGGGGTCATCAGCTGAGGGTCTTGCTGCCATACAGCCAGGAAAACTCAGAACCAATGAGGACCATTCTTATCTGTGGGGCTCTCTCTCCCAGTAGCATGATGGTTTCTAAATGGGATTCACATGAATAGTCATCGCAGCCGCCCTGCACCTACTACTCAGCGCAGACTTCAGTGTTCTGTGGGAAGGCGCCTTACAGAGGAGCCGGAGCCGCCATACTGCTCATGAGGAAAGGTCGCAGAACGGCGAGTGACTTGCCCAAACTCATACAGTGAGGGGGCAGCAGAAATGGAACCAGAGCTCAGGCCTCTAATTTTAGTCCATGCATTCTACAAATATTCACAGATCATGTTCTTCCTACTGAGCACAGGGCTAACACAGAAAAAAACGAGATTCTTGCAGGGATCCTGATTTTAGACAGCACATAACTTTCTAAGGGAAACCAAACAATACAAATATTATAAGAAATAAATGTTTTTAGGGTTAGTAGACCACAAGAAGGAATGCTTAACTCTAGAAAGGGAGATTCAGGGAAATATTTACAGTTATAGAAGCATTTGCCAGGCAAGTGTAGAAGGAGAAATAGCATCCTAGGTAGGAGATAAAACAGTGCAGGCAGAGACCTAGAGGCATGACATATAATCTAGTGTAATGGTTTTCCAACTGTGTTTTTCATCTCAAGACTGCTTTACGTTATTTGTTAAAAATTCCAAACAACTTTTTATATTTAACATATTAGAACTTATCATGTTAGGGGCCGGGGATTTTAGCTCACTGGTTCCAGCACCTGCCTCAAAAGTGCAGGGTCCCGAGTTCGATCCCCAGTACCAAAAAAAAGAAGAAGAACTTAACATGTTAAAAATTGAAGCAGAAATTCAGAAATCTTTATTAATTTTAAAATAACAATAAGCCATCTCGTGCTAACCTAAATTATATAATCTATGAGGAATAACTGTTCTTTCAAAAAGAAAAACTAATGAGAGGAGTGGCATTGCTTTATGCTTTTAATGTCTAACTCAACTAAAGACAGCTAAATTCTCATACTCCTCAATTCAATGCGCTGTAACACATTCTTTTGGTTGAAATAGATGAAGAAAATTCAGTCTCACACAGACATGCAGTTGGAAAAGGGAAGACCTTGCAGATCCCATCACAGGGTCTTGAGGACTTGCAGGATCCTCAAGCCCCCCTGAAGCCCGCAGGTGCAGGGCTACAAGCAGGCTGATGCCAGCAAAGCACAGGGCACTAGGGACGGTGAGAAGCCCGGAACCACCTCACCCCGCCAGGAGCACGGCCTGAGTTCAGACAGAGAAAAGCAGCAGTGGGTACGGAACAAAGCCAAGAAAACAGCAGTGATACAAAAGGACTTCCTGGGACTCAGTGTAAAGCACTTGTTCGGCACGCATGAGGCCCTGAGTGATCCCCAGTACCACAAAAAACACAGAATTTAAAATGTGTGTTTTAAAAAACCCTTTCCAGCTCAGCCCTTCATCCTCACACAGTCACGGCATCGGGCTTGGGCGTCACTAAGGAAGTCACTTCCCTCCCTCGGCAGAGCAGGGCGAAGGCAGCTGTGCAGGCCAGGTGGTTTCCGGTCCTGAACTAAATGGAGAGCATCTCGTTCATTTGCTCAGCAGACATCTGACAAGCTCCTACTCCATGCCGGGCCCTGCACTTCAGGGACAAAAAGCAGCGTCTGCTCTTAACAAGCTCACAGTCCAGCCGGAAAGACAGAGATGTAATAACAACTCCAAAACAGTCTAATAAGGCTGCAATTGTGATGTACAGGAAAGAGAGCGCTGTTCTGCCCGGGGTGGAATGGGGAAGGCTCCACAGGAAAGACAGCGTTTTGGCTAGGTCCTGAAGGAAGAGTAGATTACCAGAACAGAAATTGAGGAGATGGAGGAAAGCGCAGAGAGAAGTGTTCAGGGCAAAAGGGTCAAACTGATTGCATCCCAGGGTATGGCCCTCCCATTGGATGTGGGAGAAATGAAGGGGTCACATCAGAGCAGTACCAAAGAAAGCACTTCAGGCAGGGTTCTAGAATTCCAACAGTGTACCTAAAGCTCAAATAATGAATGGACCCGTCTATTGTATTTATGTTTTAGTATGTATGGACCCAATAAAAGGATATATCTATAACCCAAAAAAAGATACATCTCACAGAACCGTGAGCTGCATGCCACCCCTTTGGGAAACAAACGGAAACCAGTGGGGAAGCAAGGAAGCGGCCAGGCGTGGGGCACACACCCGTGATCCCGGCACTCTGGGGAGCTGAGGCAGCACGGTCACAACTTTGAGCCCAGCCGGAGCAACTAGCGAAACGCTGTCTCCAAATAAGAAAAACAAAAGGGGCTGGGGATGTAGCTCACTGCAAAGGCCCTGGGCTCCACCCCCAGTACAGACAGAGGGAGTGGCAGAGGGAGCGCAGGGCGGGGAACAGTGGAACTATGCCTTGTTTGATTTCGCAGTCGGCCCTTCTGTACAAGGCACTCCACGGCATGCCAACTGGACGACACCTGTGTTTCTCTAGCCACCACAGCACCCTGGCTCTGGGTGGTGCCAGGACAGGAGAGACTTGCAGTGACCCAGGCGAGCCACAATCTGACCCTGAATTACAGCCAGCTTGGTGGAAATGGAGACCACTTGATTTACTGAGAGGTGTTCCTGGCCAGGTCTTTGAGGCAGAGTTTCGCCCCTGCTGCAGCCCAAGGGCAGAAGTTCCTCAGGCTGTGGCTTCCCCCACTTTTCACTCCACCCAATCCTTACCCTTCACTTCTTGCTCCCCAACCCCCTGCCAGGCCCCCAGCTTCCTGTTTTTAAGAAAAGTACTCTCAGACTGTTCCGCTGAAAGCTCTTGCTTCTCCCAAAACATGACAATGAACTCTCTATCCCTCCCGGAAAGCCTCAACCTCAAAGAAAGGACAGCCCCAGTCTGTGGCATTTGGGAAGAAGAACCAGATGGATGTGGCCAGAACCAGGTCTCTGGAGCCTGGTCCAGCTCACATTTTACTTTCTCCATGTGGCCCCATGATCTGAGTCTCCAGCTGCCTGCATGGAGCTTGCAGCAACGCTATTAGAACCCAAGGACCACAACCTCCACTGCCTCCAGCCCCGCGTGGACCCCAGGCCTCTTGGATGCTGATGGCCTGGGGTTCTGCTCAGAACCTGCATGGCTCCAGCCTTCAGAGCAGAAACAGCTCAGCCAGTAGAGAAAGCTCAACTCTGGACAATTCGAAGATGGGAGCAGGTGTTCTTGGCTTTTAAGATCTGCAAAGCAGAATGGAGATTTTGAGATGACAGCACGGCAGGGGATTGGCTGAACACCCCAAGGAAGCTCCGCTAGAGCAGAGATGCGCTGTGGGCCAGTGCTTCTGTGGTGAGCTGGGGTGTGTGTGGAGGACAGTTCAGAGGCAGGTGAAACCAAGCAAAAGCAGGAGCTGAAGCCCTCGGACCGGCACCAGGTGTGTATGACTCCGCCTCACTCCTTCTTCTACAGGCTAGCTGTGTCTCTGAGCCCCAAGCTCCCGGTGTCTGCATGGAAGGTCAGCAGCAGGTCTGTAGGAAGCGCCTCTTCCCACATACTGGAACACTGGGCCTTGGTATGGCAGACCTGGGTTCAGACCAGGAAACTCCATGTCCCATTTGTAACAACTTGGCTGAAACCCTCCAGCCTGCCTTGGGGAGTCTGGGAAGGCAGGACTGTGGACAAGATTTTGTTCAGGCCCCGGACTTGGGTTGGCCTGCTCCCCATAGAAGGGGCTATCATGAATCGTCTTGCATTATCACTTCTCTGCCTTTTGGCTAAGATCAAGTGAATTGTCTTGTACTTTGACATCAATGGAAAAGTAATCTGGGATTGAGCTAAAATGTAAAAACAGCTGGAAGAAGGGCCAGGGATTTGGCTCAGTGTTTCTGCCACCTGCCTCACAAGCTCAAGGTCCCGAGTTTGATCCCCCGTACCACAAAAAAAAAAACTGCCTGCCACAATGTAGAGATTGAAATGACTCCAAAAATATGCTATGCCAGGGATTTAGTTAAGTGGTTCTGGCACCTGCCTTGCAAGGGCAAGGTCCTGAGTTCAATCCCCGGTACCAAAAAAAAAAAAAAAACAGCTGGAAGAGGCAAAATATATTAAAGCCATACTGCAAAACGGGGAAAGAGCTATCCAAAAAGGACAGGAGATGTGGGAAATTTTAAGAATACTGCCTTGGGCCTACTTTCTTTCTAAATTCTAGCAAAATGATCTTCAACTTTAGTGGCTTTAGCTGCATCCTGCAGAGTAACAGTGTAGGCAAAGAAAAATGCGTGGAATTGGAAGATCTGAACCGGGGGTTAGGAATGAAGCCAGCTGATTTCAGGACCTGTGGGTGACAATGAGCAGGCCACTCTGTGGAATGTGGCCATTTTACCAGTTACTGCGAGGCCCACACAGTGGAAGTGTTTGCCATTTCTCATTTGTGCCAAAGCCCTGTGGTTACTGTAGATACCAAACCCCTGACTCTCAGCTCTCTCTGACATGAGACACTGGGAAAAACATTAATAGCAGGAGGCACTTTAAAGAACTGTTTTTGGCAAAGCTTTTTGCTTTTGCTAGGCCTGAGTAATACAGGAAGCAGAAAGGGTGGGGGCACGCCCGGGGCCCCATGGTTAGAAGAATCAGCCAAAGAAGACCAAAACAGGAGCTATGAAATACCACTTCCTGCCTCCCCTGGCCCCGCTCATGGAGGGAAGCAGACCTCAAAATTAGAGGCCCCTCCTCTGCTCCCCCCATTACAGACCAGAAATATGATAAGGGTTGGAAATGCCCTGGCTGTATGACCAAGAGGGTCCACTGCGTCTGAGGCCTGAAGAGAAGTGGAATTTCCAGACCCCACAAGAGTCCCGCAATAGTCCCACAGAGCCTGGTGAAAAAAGTCAGAAAGCGAATATGCAAACAGTTAGTGCTGAAGAGGCCCATGGTCCCTTCTCTGGGAAACTTACTATCATTGGCACTGCCACCCCTATAGGTGGAGAGGCCTAAAAAAAACTAGAAGAAAAAAAAAACTGCCTAGGAAAAAGGTACAAGTCTACAGGCAGAGGGATGACACAACAAGAAGGAAGTTGTTACATTAGCTGCCCAGCTGAAAAGTTGAAAACTACAGAATGGCCCTTCCAGCCCACCACTGTCCACTCTCAGCCTAGGATTAGCAACCCTTGCAATGTCAAAATGTCCTCAGATGCATGCACAAGCTGCTGGGTTTGACCACCCAGCACTGAAGGAAGGAGAAATGCCACCAGACAGGTCCATTTCAGGAAAGCATCTTACCCTGCCCCACCTGCACTTTACTATCTCCCCCTGCATTTCCCATCTTGAGCCGTGTGCATGTGTGTGTGTGAAGGAGGGCAGTGTATTAGAAGAGCCAGCCCTCCATGTCTGCAGGATCCATAGCCTCAGATTCAGGCAGCCTTAGATTAAAACTAACTGAAAAAAATCCAGCATCTATCTGGTCTTTCTTGTCATTATTCCCTAAGCAACAGTGTAGCAAAAACGTACATAGCATGTAGTCTGTGCTGTGGGTAATCCAGAGGGCTCTGAGTATGTGTGAGGATGCTCATAGGCTACAGCATGTCATTCACAAGGGGCCTGACTTGGGCACCTGTCACCTTGACGGGAGGGCCTGGACCTGCCCACTGGGCACCGGATGACCGTGTGCTGGCCCTGCACAAAAGGGCACTCCAGAGGAGCGGCTTCCGCACAGCTCTGCAGACTGCACCGGAGATCGGCCAGGTGGCAGCAGCACTGGCTTCTCCTGTGCTCTCTCTGCTGCGCAGGCCACCTGTTCCGCACTCACGGGATATTCTCCCACTACACCCTGAGTCCTCAGCTCCTCTTCCCTGAAGATTTCGGTCTGCTCTGCAACTTCCACGTCCACATCCGCCCACAAATAAAGCAAATCCAAGAGCAAGTAAACGGTTTGAAGAGATGTGCTTTGCCAGGACTGTGTGTGGATACTGGGAGAGGTACCGCTTTTGATAGAACAGTGGAGTGCTTACAGGGCGAGGTGCTGCAGGCCTGTGATCCCAGCACTCAGGAGGCTGAGGCAGGAGGACTGATGCAAGTTCAAGGTCAGCTTGAACTACACAGTGAGTTTTTGAGACCCTCAAAAAATAAAAACAAGCCAACAATTCTGGTCATACTGGATGAGGCTCCACCCTAAGGACCTTATTTTAACTGAATTATCTATTTAAAGACCCTGTCTCCAAATATGGTCGCACTCTGAGGTACGAGAGGTTAGAACTCCGACACACAGCCTCGGGGTGTGGGAATTCAGCTTCTGGTAGGGAGCAAGGGAGAGAACATGCATTCTGCCCTCCAGCATGACTCCCTATACTTCACAAGACAGGTGAGGAGTGAGGCAGTGTCCCAACAGGGGCCGGAGGGACCGAGAGGAAAAGGGCCACTGAGCTTCCTCCCTCACCCTCCATACCAGGCCACCACCTGGGCCATCTGATAGAGGACGGGAAGGAGACAGGGTCTGTCTGCTCCAGCCTTGTCCTGGAGCAGAGAGACTCCCGTCTTCTCCCCAGGCCCCTCCGTTACCACTGAAAGAGTTTTGTTCCACAAGCATGGAGCACTCCCTAGTGCTGGGCCGCAGGCGGGCGGGAGCAGGCTGACTGCAGCCTGCACTCCGCCTCACACTTTCTAACTCCCCTCTGTGCAGGGACAGCTTAATGAGGACAAGCTGAAGGGCAGACTGAGGTCCCTGGAGAACCAGCTCTACGCCTGCACCCAGGTAGGCTTTCCAGGGCACACTGGCAGCTGGTGAGTCCAGAAAAACAATGCTGGAACCTCATGTCCCCACTCCTACCCAGGCCTGGGGTGGCCACTCTCACTTCGGTACTTCATTTGTCACGTGACTCCCTCTGGTCTCCCCTCCTCCCCGTACCTTTCCCTTTGCATGCTGGGAAGGAATCTCAGCACTGAACACTTCATCAGGTACAAGGGAACCTTGAGAATACCCCATTGTGGGGAGAGGTCCTTGGTAAAGATTCTCACCACCCAGCCAGCACCCACAGTTCCCAGTATGGATTTTTTTGTTTTGAGACAGGGTCTCCCTAGATACCGCAGGCTAGCCTTGAACTTGCAGCAATCATCCTGCCTCAGCCTCCTAAATGATACAGACCTGTGCCACCATGCCTGGCAGCTCCCAGTATTTGAACAGCTGAGTTGGATATTGTAAGGAAGCTTTTGGGTTTTGTTTGACTGTTTCACGGTAGTGGGAATGGAACCCAGGGCTTCGGGCATGGTAGGTGAGCACTCTATCCCTAAGCTACACCACCAGCCTTCTTTTCTTTTTCTTCTTTTGGGAGGGGGCAGGGTCTGGCTAAAATGCCCAGGTTGACCTTGAATTTGGTTCCTCTTCCCTAATTAAGCCTCCTGAGTAGCTAGAATTACAAGGGTGCATCACTGCCTATAGTTAATAGGGAATTCTTGAAAAATGACTTTCATTCTGTGGGCAACTTTTTCCTAGTAGCGACCTCTGGAAGAAAGTAAGAGTGTGACTCGGCTTTTCTGTGACATTGTTATCCAGCTTTGGTAATCTCTTGATTTGGCCTAATCTTCGATTTTAAAAAAAGCAGGAATAATTCAGTTTGCGCATCTTTGAGAAATGACGGATTTCTGCAGGTGAGGAGATGTCAAGAAGAAGATGTGGTAGAAGCTGGGCATGGGGGCTCCCGCCTGTGTCCCCAGCACGTGGGAGGCTGGCAAGTTTGAGGCCAGCCTGGGCGATACAGCAGGAGCCTGTCTTGGGGGGGGGGGGCAGGTGTCTCTTATTTGGAATAACAGTGGGGATCTTGCGGGAAGAGCTTATACAGTCTGTAGGTTTCCCAGCCTACAAGGTTTATTTTTTTCAATATGACCTACTTTGTTAGGTTTTCCTGAATTAAATAATCCAGCCACACTTGTAAGAGACTGACATATAACCCAGAACAACAGTCTATTCATTTTCAGTAGGGAATAGAGCTGGTCAGAGAGTGGCATAGTTAAATCCAATAACTAACCCAGGCGTGGTGGTACACACCTGTCATCCCAGCACTTGAGAGGCTGAGGCAGGAGAATCACCACAAGTTCAAAGCCAACAGAGCTACACAGTGAATTCAAGGCCAGCCTGAAATATGTAGTGAGACCCTGTCTAAAAACCAAACAAACCAAAAATAAATCCAGTAACTGGGCCATGCTTCACATATAACCTCAACCAATCACCCCTGGAGCTAGTTCTTAATAAAAGCTTAAGGCGCAGTGACATATAAATCCAAATTCTCAGCCAACTCCAGAGCTAAATGGAAATGATTCAGATTGATCCCTCAATTTTCATCATGAGGTCCGCTGACCCAGGGGTAATTGAGAATTGGCAGTGAAAGCTGCCTTCCTTCCCCCTAACCACAGGGCATGAAGAGGAAGAGCATGGGAGGGCAGGCTCCCAGGGAATGTGCAGGTCTGTTCTGCTTTCTTTCTTGATCCTGAAGCCAGGAGTGAATTATTAATTTTAAAATACTGAGTTGACTAAGAGTTCCTCAGATCCTCGAGGATTTTTGGGTTTTCATGGAGGGAACGTACAGTACCGTAAGGGTGAAAGGTGAGCGCGCGCACACACACAGGTGTCTGCAGGTGGCACTGTGTGAACGCTAAGCAAAGCTACCTGCTGGCGCTCACGCCCGTCATCTCAGCTACTTGGGGGGCTGATGCAGGAGGGTGGCCAGTTTGAGACCAATATGGGCAGTGAGTGAGACACTGTCTTAAAACGGTGTGGGGCTGTAGCCAGGGTAGAGAGCCCCTGGGCTCGATCCCTAGAACCCTCAAAAAGAGAAAAGAGAAGAGCAAGCGGGCTGTGGGCTGGGTGTGGTGGTTCACACTCGCAATCTCTGCACTCGGGGAGGCTGAGCAGGAGGATGGATTCAAGCCCAGCCTGGGCAGCTTAAGAGACTTGGTAAGACCCTGGCTCGAAACAGAAAATATGAAAGAAAAACACCAGGCGGGGGGGGGGGGGGTCTCTAATTCCTAAGGAGCTGGGAGACAGTTTAGTCAGAATTTACCAGGACTGGAGCTGGCCAGGCATGGCGGCGCATACCTGGAATCCATCCCAGCACTCGGGAGGCTAAGGCAAGAGGATCGCTGCGAGCTCAAGGCCAGCCTGGACTGCACAGTGAGTTCAAGGCCAACCTGAGCTACACAGCAAGACCCTGTCTCCAAAACAAACATACAAAACATTACCAGAACCAATGTTACCTGGGCTGAATCTCGAGCACAAGTCGAGCCTGGGCAGGTGGAAAGGTGAGCAATGAGGCTCAGGCAGAGGAAACTATTTGGGAGCGTGAAGGCCAAGGAACACGCCCAGGGGAGCTGCACAGCAGGACAGGCTGGGTGATGGGTGGTGATGTTAGGGATTTGGTCCTGATCCTCAGGACACAGAGGAACCAGAGAGGTTCACACATGGTGTGAGCAGGTGCCGCTCTGAATTAGCAAGAATCCTCTGCCTGAGAAGCTTCAAAGGGAGGCCAGGCTTACGAGCTAGGAAGACTACTGCATTCACCCATTCAGCAGCAGGTTAGTCTGCGGTCAGGGAGCAGCAGAAAGGACAGAGGGCAGACAGTCACAAGCTGTCCAGGAAGCTGACAAGGCCCAACGAAGGATGACAGAGAAAGGCGGAGCGGTTAAGGCTGACTCAGTGGGTGACGACACACGTCCCTGGGAGAGCAGCCCCAGGAGACAGGAGATGGAGGCAGGCAAGTTCCGTCTCAATGCACTGGACCTCAAAACCCTTCGAAGGGCTGCAGTGCAATGCATGGCAATCCAGTGGCTCTCGCTGGCACAGCAGAGGGACATCCTGGAGGGAAGGCCAATGCAGGACAGAACCCAAGCCTGGGCAAGGCTCAGATCCTCCCCATTTCTGTACACCAGCTGAGTGTCTGGTATCCAGAGGCTCAACATGTGTGGGTTTAATTGCATCAAATTTACAGAAATACTCCCCTTGGGGAATGAAAAAGGTGCTGTTGGAGATGGAAGACCAGAAAAACAGCTACGAGCAGAAGGCCAAGGAGTCACTGCAGAAAGTACTGGAGGAGAAAATGGGCGCAGAGCAGCAGCTGCAGAGCACACAGGTGGGACTGCTGGGTGGAGCTGGGGCCGAGAGGCCCAGGGCTGCTCTGGAAAACATAACAGGACTCCCCAGAAATGCTCCTTACAAATACATCCGGCAGTTATTTACCAGAAGCAAATGGGGAGGTGCTTCTGTGACCCTTCCTCCAAGCCTCTGGCCTGCTGGGAGGGCTTCCACTGAAGCCCTCCTCTCTGATCTCTCTCAGCGGGCCCTGGGCCTGGCAGAACAGAAGTGTGAGGAGTGGAGGAGTCAGTATGAGGCTCTGAAGGAGGACTGGAGGACCCTGGGGGCACAGCACAGAGAGCTGGAGAGCCAACTCCATGGGCTTCGGTCCAAACTGCAGGTACCAGGCCCTGGGTTCGGGGGAGCAGGGCATGGAGGAAGAGGGATGATGGTCACGAGGGGCTTGGCTTAGGCCGCAGGCCCCAAAGGTGGCTGAGGGTGTCCAGCTTCCAGTGCCCTACTCAGGCCTGCTTTGTACTGGAGTCACGGTTTCAGCTCTGAATATGGTCTGACTTTACAAAGGACAGCTGCACCACTCATGCAAATGAGCCAAGTGCTCACTGGAACAACACGACCCAAATGCAAAGGGCTGAGCTGAAATATTTATCAGGCTACTAACAACATACTCCAACCCACTATGCAAACCTTTCCCAGTAGAGCTTCTGGTCCAGAACTGCCTATTTGCACTGAACAAATGTCAGTAACTTAATTCTAGGTGAGTAGTAACTAATACTCCAATGTGTTTGTTCAAGCAATTACTGTGGACTCGGGACACTGATGGACAAAAGTTCCATCGTTTCTAATCTGCTACCTTGGAAAAGTTAACTAACCTCCACAGCCTCAGTTTCCACGTCTCTAAAATGAAGAGTAACAGTGCCTGTAGCATTGGTTGTTATGTGGCTCAAATGTGGCAGCACGACGCGTAATGCCTGGCACATATAAACACCCAGTACACACCAGCTTGCACTGCACTGGCCTCACTCACTTGGCTTGGAACTGAGGATCTGCCCCAAAAGCTGATCTCCACAATTTTCCTGAAACAGGGAGCAGAAGAGCCCACCTTGAAGAGAGTGTGTGGCTTTTCAGAGGAGCGCCCTCACTGGCCCTTCTGCACTGTGCCCACGTACGAAGCTCTGCCGTTTTCTTCTCCCATCACCCATACAGCAATTCTTAGGAGGATATTTTGGGTTTTTTAAACCTCTTGTGAAAAATGCTCCCCTCCCCCACAAAAACACTTGACAGTGGTAGAATGAAAAGTAAAGAGAAAGCCAACACGTCCAGGGGAGCTCCGCCTTGGTATGCTTTCATCTGGGGTCTACACCAGAGTAAGGACAGGACCCCTGTGAGTGCCCAAAGTTTAACACACGGTTAAAAATGTGAGGAACAGAGCAAAGAGAGTGAAAAAAGAAATTCCCTATTTTTTTCAATTCCCTAACACTCCTTCCAGCTCTGAAATTCTACAATTTCCGGTTACTACCTCCTTCTGGGAGACCTGCTTCCCACCTCCACTAAGAACTGACCCCAGCCCTCTTCCTCCTGCAGGGAGCAGATAGTAGAGACGCACAGATGAACCAGGCCCTGCGACTTTTGGAGAATGAGCACCAGGAACTGCAGGCCAAGATTGAATGCCTGCAGGGGGACCAGGACCTGTACAACTCGGATTCCCGGGACCTGCAAGGTACCCTTCCCCTTACAGACCCCGGGAGCAGAACCAAGGCTAAGGGAGCTCAGAGAAGGAAGCTGGGTGGAGAAAGGGCCTCAGCCTTCATCTGTTGGCATAGCCTTATTTCATTTCACCGTGAGGGAAAGGAAGGGCTATTTTAATCAACCAAGACAAAATTTAACTTTGCTACACTAGGGGATCTCCTTGTGTGAGCTCCCTTCTGCAGCCCCTCCCTTGGGGCCAGATCACAGCTGTTACCAAGTTAGGTCACATGTGACAAGGCCACATTCCTAATTTGAAAGGGAAGGTCGGTCAAATTCAAGGCTGAGTGAAGGTATCCCAGCCACAGCCTGTATCAGGTAAAAGATAGATACTGTGACAATACAGCCCTTAGTTCAACCTAACGCTGTTGACTGCCGGCACAGACCCCTCTGTGATGAAAGGTACATAGGTGCTAGCTAGTCCACTGCTTTAGAACTGGGGCCCAGAGAAAGCAGAGCAACTTCCATTTGACAAGTGCCAGAGGCCAAAGACAGGACAGTCCCTTGTACTAATTTCCACCCTCAGGTGTTGGGTTCATTAAACTGGGTTCTTCTATTTTGGTTTGCATTTCACTTTCAGATCAACTAAAGAGGTCTGAGGAGGAGAAACTCGCCCTGGTGACTAGAGTACAGCAGCTGCAGAGTAAGTTTCCTCCCTAGATCCTCAAACTAGCACACAAGGCTTCTTGGTGTTCCTAGTGCTCCTCCCAGGGAAGGACTGGGCCCCAGTCTGGCATGTCCTCCTCCTTCTGTGCATTTTCAGATACACTTCTTGTGGACTGGAGTCATTTACACAGCGCTTCACAAGTCATGTGAGCCTTTGGTCTTTTTTTTCCTATTTTTCTCCTTCCACGTCAATAACAATCACTTGCATTTCTATGAGAATTGCAAATTTTAAAAAGCACTGGTGTTCTAGGGCTGTGTATGTATTCTAACTTATTACATGCATGAATATGTCACTTAGACCTTTCTCACTAGAAAGATTCAAAAATAAGCATTTACTGAGGTCCTACTGTCAGGCACCCTGGAATTTACACTGAGAATATAATGACAAAACTAATAATTCCTTCCTTTGTAAAGCTGACATTCCAAGTAAGATCTCCAGTGTAGTATAGGGCTTTTATGGTAAAAAAAAAAAAAAAAAAAAAGAATATGTGTGTGTGTGTGATGTCTTAATAAAAGCAGGTTAAAGAGAAAACAGTTGCTATTTTACATAGGGTCATCTGGAAAAGCTTCTTTTTTTAGGGGAGAGGCTTTTTTCTTTTCTTTTCTTTCTTTTTCCAGTATCAGGGATCGATCTCAGGACCTTGCACTTGCAAGGCAGGCGCGGTGCCACTGAGCTAAATCCCAGGCCCACGGCTTTTGCTTTTGAGATAGGGTCTTGCTATGTAGTTCTGGCTGGCCTTGAACTCACTAGTAGCCTAGACAGACCTCAAACTCATGGCTATCCTCCTGCCTCAGTCTCCTGAGTGCTGGGATTACAGGTGTGCACCACCAAGCCCAGCAAGCTTTTCTTAGGGTAACCTTTAAGCAGACTTGAAAGCAAAGACATGGTAGGGGCGATACGAGAATACTGTATTTGCAACAGTACCACAGGTGACCTGAAGACCAGGAACACACTGTCTCACAGTTCTGCAGGCTGGAAGTCCAAAATCAAGCTGTTGGCAGGGTTGGCTTCTTAGGGCTTCGAAAGAGGATCTGTTCAGGCCTTCCTTGGCTCTGTGGATGGCCAGCTTCTCCCTGTCTTCTCTTCCTCATTCCCCAGAGCATATCTGCATCTGAATTTTCTCTCCTTGTAAGGGTACCAGTTACCTACATGACAGCCCAGCATGAGGACCTTATTTTTACTGGATTACTTCTATAAAGACTATCTCCAAGGAAGTCACACTCTGGACTTAGGGGGCAGTTAGGATGTCAACATATTAATTTTGGGAGATGAATTTTAATCTGTAACACATGGGAGTATCTTTAAAAATTAAGGTTCTAAGCACAGGTATGAAGAGGCTCTCTGCAGGGAATCTGCTACAACAGACAAGTTCCTTGTGTTTCCCAACAGGTCTGCTTCAGAATCAATCCTCACAGCTTCACGAACAGGAGAAACTCTTACAGAAAGGTCAGCAAATTTACTAGCACATCGCTCAGATAACGCTCTTTGCTAGCCCACCTAGAGGCAGGAGGATGAACGATGTGGCCTCTTGGAGCCCCACCCAGTTCTGGGGGTCGTTCAGTCAGGGAAGTAGGGGAGTCCTCTAAGGAATGATCACTGGCCCCGGGGACACCTCACTAGCTAGCCCTCTATCCTACGAGGTTCATAAACTGTGAAAAAGAATTTCTCCTCTCTCCGAAAACATGTTTATGCTGAACATTTCAATAAATGGATTTTGAACTCAGGATTTCATGTCAGTTTTTACACACTTGACTTTCCAAACCAGATCCTATCCCCAGCCCCAAACCACACAGCATGCAAAGTCAGTCTCACTTTAGTCCTAGAATGTCTGCTGCCCAAGCTTCCCAAGAATCCCCATGTATACAGAGGGGCAACAACTCCTCTGGTAGCCACACCAAACAGCCTCCTGTCTTCTCCTCATGATCACTGGGCCTGCTACACACAAGAAGGCAGACATCATGAGCTCTCTGATCATACTAATTAAGGACCGCGTTAAGATGAAAATCCAGACTGCAAGATGGATAAAAAACCATCTTTAATCACATACCATCTGTTCTAGGATCTCAATGCCATTTTCATGACTCTGAAAGGAGGATGTAAGGGGAAAAGTTATACTGAAACTCAGCAAACCTACCCGGCAAACTATCAAGTATATGAAGTATATGACACACAGCCAAAGAAATTCAATTAATAAGTACTCACTAAAAGTATCTGGCATCAGACAAGTCTGAGGACCCAAAAAGTTAGGGTGCCAGTGCTGCTCTCAGAGCTCATGGCCCGCTGCCTGTCCAAGCTGAGCAGGGTCACACCGTAAGTTCTCTAAGACTGAAGATTCCACTCCACTCCCGGGTTCTCAGGGACAGGCCATTTCCTCAGAGGCCTGGGCTCACTATCCCTGCTTTTTTAGATCAGGCTTTGCCTGTGTGGACACCAAAGCCTTCCCCAGAAGTGGAGCCTGAGAGTACAGGGAAGGACAAAGACTGGGATCTCAGAGACCAGCTGCAAAAGAAGACTTTGCAGCTCCGGGCCAAGGAACAGGAGGTGAGACAGTGACCTCAGACTGTGAGGGGTCATCCCTAAGCAGGAGGGGAAACTGCTGGGAGGCAGCTGGAGAACGGGGATTTTGGGTTAAATTGTGATTAGATGTGCGCAGGTATTCATGGGCCCATGTAAAACAACTCCGCCTTCGGGTTGATTTGTTGATTGTTTCCCTGCCTCACTTATCCAGCCCCTTTCAAGGTTTTATTAGTTACCTTTTCGAAAGTCAACCTTGGCTCAAACACATTTGATTATTAATTTCTCAAGCTTTGTCCCACACTGGCTATCTCTGGAAGCTTTATATAGTGTCTCTTAAATAGCAAAAACTTCCCTAGGTGCACACATCCGACATTGCAAGCATTCAGAAACAACCAGCTCCCAGAACAGACTTGTATTCAAATCGCTTCCTGGTCTTTTATGCTACAACAACTTCATTTTTGGTAACCCCATTTACAAAGCATCTGCACACATACAGTCCCATAAAAACATTTACATGCATAAAATGTAATAGAACACAATCATTTCAACAAACACATTCCAGACAAACTAGGAGACGGCAGAAAGACAAACTGAAATCCCTGAGAAAAGCTGGGGAAGGACAATGGCTCCGTGGGTGAAGGAATACCTTAGTCGGGTCAGTCTGCCCTTCCCGGGTTCTACCTGGGACAGAACTGGTGGTGATGACCCTGGTGATATTCTCCCCAGTGCACAGAACTGCATTCAGAGTTAGACAACCTCAGAGGCGAGTACCTCTCCTGCCTGCACAAGCTACAGCGCTGTCGTGAAGAGCTGAACCACAGCCTGCAACTGCCTCCCAGAGTAAGGGGGTCCACCTTCCTGTACAGCACTAGATACCGGTGGGACAATTCTTTTTGGCCAAACCTTGCAGATAAAATTTATCAGCCCACACTAACATATGACCATCCACTTGGTTTATACCTTGCTGACATGAAGCCATGCGGCCATGAAAGAAACACTAGTTCATGCATCCCAGCCCAATTTTCATGGAACTCTTGCGCCCAGAAAGACTATGGGTTGAACATCCTTAATCTGAAATGCTCTGCATCTGAAATTGTTCGAGCTCTAGCATGATGTTCAAAAAGTTCTGGAGCATTTCAGATTCCCAAGTATTTGGAACTTCAGGTTTTAAAAATTATGTATGCTCCGCTGGTAAAGTCTACGTAAGTTATAAAATCGAGAAACTCCACAATTTGAAACACTTCTGGTCCCAACCATCTCAGATCAGGAATAAGCCCATATCAGCCCAAATATGAAAGACCAATCTTTGTGAACATGACAAGCACAGAGCTACAGAATTGAGCTAAAGCACTGAGGCATACGACCACAGAATGTAAATGCGCCGGGTTCCTTTCTATCCCTGATTATTCTCTTCAGCATTTAAATGCCTGGTCCCTATGTATGCTCCCTAGGCTAGCAGCCCCTGTAAAGTGGTATTATCTCAAGGGAGGTGACAGAAACCAAGACAGAGGAGTAAACTTTTCTCTGCCACCAACCGAGATTCTCCACCGGCCTGTAACAGGATTACTTTTGCCCATCTTTACTCCAACTCATGGCTGCTTTCTCCTGTCTCACTCTCCCACCACCCAGAGGCGATGTGGCCGATGGCTCCCGATGCTGATGGTGGTGATTGCTGCAGCACTGGCAGTATTCTTGGCCAACAAAGACAGCCTGATGATCTGAAAAACTTGTGACAGTTGCGTAGGGTAAAAATCAAAACCAAGCGGTTCAACGTAAAACTCAGGTTGGGGTATTTCATATCTTGGGTTCTCCCTCCAAATAAACTGGGATTTCTGAGTTTTTTATTTTTTTAAGATACTGTAAATAAATGTTACCTTACCAAACTGTTTCTTGGAAGTCTTGATTTATTCCTGAATAGCATTATCATCTCCCAAGAGTGATATGTAAGCATGCTGATCCACTCAATCCAATTCAGTTAGAAGTATGTATATAAGCAGAAACACAGTTCTCCTTTCCCAGAAGACACTATCCATAGGCAGGCTACAAGAGCCTACTACTTGTCCTCCACAACCCTTCTTTTCCCCCTAGTCTCTTTCCTGCTATCTCTTATCCAGTGAAAAATTAATGGGCATCTCTGCTCATGGAAGACTCCCTAATACAGAAGTGACAAATACGTACTACCAATGCTACCACCACCACCATCACCTATTCGCATTCTCAGGGTTAGCAGACAGATTGCAGCATTGTTTCCTAGAGTTCCCCAAACACTGAGAATTGGTACTTGATTCCTAGTTGACACCCTCAACACAGAGATGCTCATTTACAGGATACCTTTTATATGGGAGGAGAGTTAAAGTCAGAGGGCCACAGCTGGCAGTGTGACTATTTCAGAGGAGATGCTGAGGTCAGCAAAGTCATCCTGACTCCTAAATCGGGTTCTCAGGTCCTTCTCCCAGGCATTTAGAATGTCCTTCAAGGCTGGGAACAAGCACTCTGGGACGCTAAAAGAACAGAGCAAGACTGGGGGCTGCCTTGGTAGCCACGAGATTCGAGCAGTGAACACCCGCAGTGGGGTCAGGGTCAAGCAGTTGTCATTTCCCTGGTTCCGGTGAAAGGTGTATGAGACAGGATAGCCCAGAAGGAGCCCAAATACAGTACAGAGATTCCAGTCTGAGGAATGGAGTCTGCTAAGAGAGACTCCTAGAGATAGGTCTCTCTGCAGCTCCTGCAAATGCATGGTGATCTCAGCCATGAAGTCCTTCAAGTCCTGAAGCTGGTCCAGGGAACAGAGGGAAGGGTATGGCTGGGAGCTGGAAACATCCACCAATGCTACAGTACCAAGCAGCACCTGCTGCAAGTGCTGACATGCATGCTTAGGACTGACAATGAGACTATTTTCTCCAATCTCAAGAATGTGAAGTCTCAGGTTGAGGAGACCCAGCCTCTGCAGCTCCTCCAGATAACTCTGGAGCGCCAATGCTCCCGCACAGTTGTAATCATAAAGCACAGCTGGCTTCAGCCCCTGGGCCACGGCTAGCATCTCTCCAGCTAAGTGAAGGCAGGCGGCTCTAGACGGACCCTTTCTCTTTCCCATGCCCAGGGTCTGCTGAGCAGCTGCCACCAGCAGCTGGGGGCTTGGTGTTGACATGAGATCAGGAAGCAACTTCAAGCATGGCCTCCTTTTCCAGCCACAGTTCCTTTCCCGAGTCGAATCTCCACTCTGGACACTCGAGCCTAGAAACAAGGTGGTAGCAGGGAATTAACACCAGCCCAGTGACACAGCAGGAAACTTACCAACAGCCTGCCCATTAGGTCTTCTATCTCCTATCGGTTATTCTGACCATCCAATGTGGAAGGCTGACGCAGGCCAGATGAGTCCACCAGCGCTGCCTGACTTCTCTGGTTAACTTAGTCTCCTTGGGTCCCAAATTCCTGTCTTTCTGGCTTTACAGGCGGATTTATATGACCTCTGCCTTCTAAATTTTACAAGCTGCAAATTATGTCCCCCTGATTCAAACCTTAAAAGGTGCAGAGCAGAGAAAAAAGGCAGGGCAGTCTAGCAAAATTCACTGCGTTTCACCCAAAACCACCCTTCTGGGACAGACTTCTGAATTCCAAATGAATTCTTTCCTTCCATTGCCAAGCGCTTTTCCCCTGGAAAACAGGTGCAACAGCAACCTAATATTAACATACACTGGAATGCAGATTAACAGCCATCTCACCGCACGGAGACAGAAACAAAACGGCTGCACAGCAGGAGGGCTGCATTTCCTCTGACACCTTCTTCCCCTGGCAGCAGCTGCCCCAGTGCTGCGGGAAGGCGGGACCCTTCCAACGCTCACACCTCACAACCCACAACACAGGGCCTTGCTCTACTCTCTCACTGTCTCCACTTCCGCTGCAGGCTGGCGGGCTCAACTTCCGGTTTCCTGCCGGCTGCTGGGAAAGCGGCTAGGCCCCAGCGCGCCGCCGCAGCACGGAAAAATCCCGCCCGCAAGGAAGATTCTAGCAACCTACTCTGCGCCAGGGGGCCAAAACGGCCTGCTGCGCATGCGCACCCACTCGGGCTCTGCAAACTACGTCTCGCTTCGATGACGTCATCCGCGGGATTCGCTTGCCTCGCGTTGGAACAAGCCGGGCCGCCTGGTGACGTAGCGGAAGTATGGTCCTCCTGCGCCCACCGGTCAGATAGAGACCGCCCCGCCGGTCCGCCGAGGACGGGGCGGGGCGAGTGACGTGTTCCAAGTGCTGTGGCCCACTTCCCCGGGAAGCTGGACAGGATGCGCAGCACTTGATGACACCCTTTGATTTGTGTCTGGAGAAACACGCCTTTCCAGATGACAACTGACGTACTTTGCGGAATATCCTCACCTAGGGGTGGCACTGTACACCTGTTTTAAAAAAAAAAAGCCTTGACGTCCCTAAATCCTAAAGGCTCTATCCTCGCCAAGGGGAGAGCTCTGCAAGCTGCGAAGGTGTGAGTATCCATTCTAAATAGTGCTAGCCATAGTTCTAGGGTCTGGAGGTGTTTGCAAAAGAGACAGAAACCCACTTTCATGGACCTGTAAGCTTTAGGAGTCCAGTTTGCTGATTTCAAACGAGAATTGAAGATCTAGAGATTTTTTCAACCAGCTTGTTAAGAAGAGAAAGAGTTAGGTTGGTGGTAGCTGTGGAGTAAAGATAGGACCCGCATAGAAAGAAGTCCAGCTTGTATGAGCTGCCACCCTAATGGTTAACTCAGAGGGAGTCAGAAAAATTAGAAATTGATACAGCTAGACCTGTTTTAGAATTTTTTTCTTTCCCGTATTTATATATTTCCCCATGGTAGTGAGCAATAAATCCTCCAGATGGAAGACTCATGTAATGTAGTTCATTGGTTTATTATAGCAACAATTTCTTGAGAACACACTATGCGTCAGACAGTGATATAAGGACTACCATACCCCGGGTTTCCTGAAAGTAAGACCTGCCAGGAAGATAAATCATGCTGGAACTTGCAGCGAAGACCAAACAAGTTTGTAGTCAAACAAGGCACAGATGCTGCACAATTACAGAGACATGGTTATTCTGAGAAATAGTTTACGGTGCTATACAACAATCAGGGACCTAATTGGGGAAGAGACTTGCCTAGATCCAGATTTGTCTGCCCCCCCCCCGCGCCATTTATCCTCCCAATTCACATACAGTGAGTTCTTTTTACCTTTAACCTAGTGGTGGTGGAGGCACGGTGAGGAAAAAGGAGAGCTGGTGACAGTCTTAACACTCTTTCCAGCCTGCAGCAAAGTGGAAGCAAGGAAGAAGACACTTAGCGTGAGTGGTGTAGCCAACAAAGGAGTTCTCAAACAGCCCCTAAGAAAAGGACAAAACCAGGCATGGTGGGTCACACCTGCAATCTCAGCATTCGGGAGTCCGAGGCAGGAGGATTGCTGTGAGTTCCAGACCAGCCTGGGCTACATAGTAAGTTCAAGGCCAGGCTAAACTGCACATCAAGACCCTGCCTCAAGGAAAAAGAAGGCGGGGGGGGGGGCACACCTGGTATCTATCAAAACCAGAGAAAGTTATCACCCACATAAACCATTCATCCATCCGACACATTGATAAACTTTTCGTTGTATGTGAAAAAGCTTGGTTCTTGCACTTCAGAATTCTGTTTTCAGCGTTCTTTACCCATTTACGTTATCTGGCTTCCCATCCAGGTCGCAGCCTGGCTGTTAGCCTTTCAGAGAAGGGAAAGGAAGCAGCCCACATTCAGTAGTCGCTCTCCTAAATTACCTGCAATGGGTTACCGTAACTGAGCACCTGGATACCAAACATCAAGACTGCTTTACCCACTCAACCAAAGAAGGTAAGTGGTCAAAGAAGGTAAGTTTCTATGCCTTGCATGATTCCTGATCTCTAAAATCCCAACATTTCCTCCAAGCTGGGCATTTGACTTTTACCCAGATTTCTTTTGGTCATACTTTTAAAATTTTTATTTTTATCAGTACATGTTTGCAGTACATAGTGATTACATTCATCATGGGGAGTTGGTACATGTACATAACACATCTTGATTCTTTGTGTGTCCTCTTCCCTTCTCCCCGCTTAAGCTCTTGGTCTCCTTCCCTTTTGCAAAAGATCGGTCACCCTGTTTCCTATTATTTATCTTTTATTCTGCTCTATATTTATACTTTGGGTCTCTCATATAAGAGAAACCATGCACTATTTAAGCTTATGGTCTCAAAGTGCATCCATTTCCCACAGATGACTCAAATACATTTTCCTTATCTATTCATTTGTCGATAGACATATAAGCTGCTTTCAAGCTATTATTGCTGGGCATGGTGGCTCATGCCTGTAATCCCAGCACTCAGGAGGCAGAGGCAGGATGATATGAGTTTGAGGCCAGCCTCAACTATACAGTGAGACCCTGTCTCAAGAAAACCAAAAAAAACCCTACCTATTATAAGTTGTACTGCTATAAATATGGGTATGCATGTATCATTGTAATATATCTTTAACTCTTGCAGGGGGATACCTAGAAGGGAATAGCTGGGTCAAATAGAACTTCTAGTTTTAGTTTCAGGAATCTTCACACTGATTTCTCTAGTGGTTGTACTAGTTTATATTCCCACCAGCAGTGTAGGAGGCTCATTTTCCCCACTGCCTCAACAGCATTTGTTATTTGATTTCTTGATTATAGCCATTCTTTCTGCAGTAAGACGGAATCTCAGTGCTATTTTAATTTGCATTCTTCAAATGGCCGTTGATGTTGAACTTTTCATTTATTATTGGCCATTTGTATTTCCGAGAAGTATTTATTCATTACAGTTGCCGTTTTTTGATTGGGTCTTTTATTTGGGGGAGCTTAGTTTTTTTGTTTTTTATTTATCTAGTTACCCTTTTTGTTTTTTGTTTTGTTTTTTGAGACAAGATATTTCTGTGTACTTCAGGCTGGCCTTGTTTTTGCTTATTTTTTTGTTTAAGTTTTATTAAAGGTAGGAAAAGAAACAGGCTCTGAAGATCAAGTTTGACCCAAGTAAAAATAGGAAAAGAAGCACATCTTACAGCATGAGGGTGGGCCATCCATGCAAGAGAAAATACAGTGGCCCAGGCTGTCCTCAAACTTGCAGTGATCCTCCTGCTTCAGCTCCCAAATGCGGAACTACAGGTGGGCAGGTGCTACGACACCTAGTTTTTTGTTTTGTTTTGGAGACAGGGTCTTGCAATGTAGTTTGACTGGCCTTGAACTCACTATGTAGTCCAGGCTGGTCTTGAACTTGCATCAGTGTTCTGCCTCAGCTTCCCGAGTGCTGAGATTGCAGGCGTGCACCACCATGCCCAGCTACGCCTAGCCTGTGAGTTCTTTATGTATCCTAGATATCAGTCCTCTGTTTGGGGAGTGGCTGGCAAAATGTTTTCCCATTCTTAGGTTGTCACTTCTCTCCGTTGGTTGTTTCGTTTGCCATGCAGCTTTTTAATTTAATATGATCCCATTTGCTGATTTGTTATGTTATTTCTTGTACAACTATGATTCTGTTCATAGAAAGTCCTTGCGCATCCCTATGTCTTCAGAAGCCTTACTGTACCTATTTTATCTTCCGGGAGTTGTTTAATATTTAAATCTTTGATCCAGTTTTTAGTTTAGTGCCTGATAAGAGATGTGGATGTAGAGCCAATCTTCTTCATGGTCATGCTTTAATAATAGAGGATTCCACTAGGTCTCTAAGAGATCCTAAAATCCAGGCTCACACATTTCAAATCAGTCCCATTGTCACATTTAATTAGTGGAGCTTTGATTTCTGAATAAAGCTAGCCCTGCATTCAGTTATTTGTAAAGCAGGAGGTTGGTTAAGGAGTCCAGACCACACACAGACTTGATCGCCAGGACCTGACAGGCATCAGTACTCAGGAGGTTTGGCTCCACAGCCAGAGATTAGCATCTTGTTTTCAATTTTGGTCTTGGAATTTAAATTATATATAATTTTATTAGGGAGAGCGTGGTTAGGAGCTGAGAAAGTTACTAAATCAGCTCAGTTTGTGACACCTGCAGTGCCGTGTTCTACACATTTCACCTTCGTTGTTCACACCCAGACCCCTCCGCCAGAGGGAAATGAGCGGGTCTATGTTAGGTGGCTTTTTCCAGAAGCCCACGGCCCAGCCCTGCCTTACCCTCGCCTTCACACACCTGAGCCCTCATTTTTCTCAACTGCAAAAATCCGCATGACAGAAAGACTCTTAAACGTCTCCTAACAAGAACTGACTTTTTGTAGTCAGAGGAGTATATCCTACGTGCCCAGCTTACTTCCAGGTCTTCACCACACAAGAGAACACGAAAAAGAAAAAGGAAGCTCCTGACTCAGGTCGCCTCTGGTTCGTGTGCTCACCTACCACACACATACAAGGTGGTATTTGAAGACAAGGTGTTCTGCTTCGGGTCTGGATGTCCCCTAAGCCGTGTGGGGTGCTGGGGTTAAGGACGGGTGATCACTAAATCAGTCCACTGATTGGTTTGGCACCACCCTAATCCTGGTAGCCTGGTTACAACATAAGGGACAGAAAGAAGCTTGTCTTGTCCCTTGTTGCTTTTGCTGTCTTCCACCACCATGAACTGTTGCCCCTCTGCCATGCCCCTCTGCGTTGGAGCCAGCTGATTATGGAATGAAACTTCTACAAACTGTGAGCTAAATAAACCTTTCTCCTTTAACTTTGGGTGTCGGGTATTTTGTCTCAGCAACGAGAGAAAAGCGACGCACAACGTAAAGTCCAACGGCCCACTCTTTCACAGAACCCCTGAGCTTTCTCACTAGTTTCCCTTTAGAAGTTCCATTTATGACTTTTTTACTCCACAGGTTGGGTGACTTTCAGACTTTGGCACCCATTTCTATTTAGATATCAAGCCTGGTTTCCAGGCAACCAGTCAGCTCCTCTCCCTCTTACTTCCCCCATCAGGGAGCCAGCTTACAATACTAGCAGAACAGGTCAAACAAAGCTCAATCCTGGACAAATCAGGCTTGAGGAAACTTTAATGAAGGTAAGAAAAAAAATCAGTACAAGAACAATGCAAAAAGGTTCTGTTCCAGGCAGTTTGGGAACAAAATAGAATGAAGTAATCAAATCAGGGTTTTAAAACGGAAAGAAATTTGGGCATTATTGCAATCTTTATTTATTTACACATAATAAGGTTGAAGCCCAGAAGTTAAATGACTTGTTTAAGGTTACAGTGGAAGAAAACCTGTAGCTAGTACCCTGGTGTCCAAACTCCCAAACCTAGTCTCCTTTTACTATATCCTACTACCATTGGGTTTAAAAAAGAAAAGGATACAGGGTGTGGAGGTGCATGCTTATAATCCCAGCACTCTAGAGGCTGAGGCAGGAGGATCACCGAGAGTTCGAGGCCAGCCTGGGCTACAAAATGAGTTCAAGGCCAACCTGAACCACGTAGTGAGACCCTGTCTCAAAAGAAAAAAAAAAAGGAAAGTATGGCAATTTTCCATAAATTAAATCAAGTTTAAAAGCTAGGCACATTTGAAGTTACAGACTTCTAACATCATTAGAGGAAAAAGATTTAAAAGCTGGTTAAATCTGAAAAAACATTCATATATACAATGGGGGGGGCAGGAGGAGGAGGAGGAAGGTGTTTGTGATTACTGAGTGGGCAGGGCAGGAGGCAGCTGCATGCTGGGGGTGGGCTGCATGGGCTGCCAGCTTTCCTGAGTTTGGAGGATGCGGTACAGCTGCTTCAGCTGAGTGACGATGTTATCTTTGATGTCTGGAGTCGAGATCTGCAGGCGAACACTGCCACTGTCAAAGGAGCGTGTGAAGTCACCGGAAAACATCTCATAGATCATCCGAGCCACCACAGGAATAACCTGTTGATGACAGAGCACATGAGCATCCACGGAGGAAAAAGTATTTTTAAATAGCAGGAGAGACCCAAGACTGAAAGAAACAATGGGTCTTAGGAAAGCCCCACACTACTGTGTAGACACATCATCCCCTCCAGACCGTCTGGCCAGTGTTCACTCTAGAGGTTGGTTCAACTGAACCTGAAGAATCTGGGAATAGCATCATGCCACAGCCCGAGCAGATGACTGCTTCCTGGCAAGACTTTTAACCAAGTGTCGTCTTAGCCTGCCTCGGTACACAGCTCAGTCCCACCCCCTTGCTGCCATTCCTAGAAGGAGATTACACTCTTAAAAACAATTCAAATGGTTTTTCTAAGAAAAGCTGGAAAGAATGGAAGTCACCCCCAAATCAGCCACCCATTTTAAGGACAGTCTCTAGCTTGGTCCTACTGTACAAAACAAGCCTGCTTCCCCAGCGGATAGGATTAAAAACACACAGGCTGATGGGCGCTCAGTGAGGACTCGCCCGGACCTGGGAGAAAGCACTGACAAAAAGAGGGGTTGTTAACACGTCTTTATTCCTCACCTGAACCAAGATGAGCTTCCTTTCCAAGGGCTTCCCATCTGGCCATTCTTCCCCAAAGCATAAGTAGATCTCGAATGGTGGCTGCTTCTCTATCTGTCCTTTTTGGTGGGCAATGAGGTCTGCAGAAGTAGAAGAGTAAGTTTGATGCCGTGGGTCATTTCATACCCATTTGGTGAATACCACCTTACAGTTTGGCGGTAATTATAAGACTGTCACCCTCTTCTGCCACCAAAGGAGCAACAACCAACCTAAAAATAGCTTCTCCCTTCTTCATTGCCTAGGCCACTTTCATTTTTTAGAGCCAAGGTTCTCCTCTCCCTTGACCTCCAAAAGAAATTGTGTGGTTAAGGTCTTTGCTGAGCCAGGACAGGAAGGAAGAGCAAGGGACGGATCAAGGAAGATAAACTTCCAGAAAGCAGCTCCATCAGCAATCTTACAGTGAGACTCACCACTCAGGAATGTTTCCAGACAAAAGAGCTTGACCTTCTTCTGTCTCTCAATCAGGTTGGGGGCAACAAGTGATGGGGCACACGGCCCAGACCAGTACACCTTGCACTGGCACAGCCTGATGGCATAAATGGCATGACCGCTGACCTCCAGGATCAGTCCTCTGTCCATGACATCCAGCAGCTTGCTGGTAAACAGCTTCTGCTTTTCATTGGTGATATGCTCTGGCCCTGGGAATTTGACCTGCTCCAGGCTGACGGGACCGAAGAGCTCCTCCTGGTCGGGCATGGGACCCAGGTCCCCATAGAAGAGCCGGCAGCCCTGGGGGTTGCTCACAGTCATGGTCTGCCCATACTCCTTCCCACGGTACTGAAACTTGATGTCCAGGTCGGTCACTGCAAGGTGAGAGGTGACAGTGAGAATCCTGTCCATCCCCAAGATTCACACAAGACTATCAACATCAAGCCACCTTTCAACTGGCATTCAAGAAGGCCTCTGCCACAGTTATCCTTCCTGCAGTAAAAGGAGGTGTTAGCACATCCCTGGGATAGTCACATAAAAGGCTGCCTTGAAGCAAGCGTTAAGGCCCTTCTATACCTTCTCTGTTCTACCCTAAGGGCAAGAATTTCACCAAGCAAAGTGCCGGATCCTGATGTCACATGTCACACTGACTGAATCTGCACCAATAAGTATTCCAAGGAGCTAAACATTAAAGTAACTAAAGTAAAAATTAAAGTAACAGAGGAATAAGAGGAAAGCCATCTTTTTGAAAGTCACGGCACATCTGTTCTGTCAATTTAGGAGATCAGGGCAATGACTTTGATACTTCATTAAGATAAATATGTCCGCAGTTCAACAAGAGCCCTTAAAGCTCCTCAAAATCAAGAGCTGCTTTATCCAAATCTATGGCCTTCAACCTCCCAGTCCCACAACTGGCTTTGTCACCAAGTCCTCTAACCAGACTTAGATCCAGGGCTCCTGCCCACCTAAGAGCGGAGTGACACAGAGTCCTACCCAATCAGAGCATCCCCAGGGCAAAGACGTTCAGATGATGTATATTTACTCCCTGGTGACTCATCCAACATTCAGGAAGCAGACAAAGAGGGCACCGGGGGGCCAGGCAGCTGTTCTATACTTAGCAAGGTAATGGAGGCAGAAAGTGGGACCGGAAATGAGACCAGCAAGAAAGATCAAGGCTCACTTACTTGGGAGAGAGCTGATCCACAGCTCTGGAGAGCTGTAGAAGGGCTGAATGGGTGCCTGGGGTACTTCCATCTCCAGAGGTTCTGTTTTGGGCCACACTGCTTCAGGGCTGCAGTTGCCCACGCTGGCTGGCGCCATAGGAGAACCTAGAACACAGGCATGTGGATGAGTGTGCAGGGGCTGCACATGTGCATCACCTGGTCTGAGGCTCGGGGACTAAGGCCGGAAGATGAATCAGACTCTGACGCATGACCCAGCGACCTCCATCATCCCCAGTGGTTCCCCAGCTCCTGCTTCCTGGCCATGGTATTTCACTCATAAACCCACAGCTCTCAAACCGTGTCCGTTAAAGACTGACGTAGAGACAGGCGAGTTTTCTCTAGCAGTTACATTAGGAAGGGCATGAGGGAGACACTTCCCTGTGGAAACTGGCCCAGTAATTGAACAGGAGCTGGTTGCCTCGCAGAAATGAGCTCAATTGAATTAACTGATAGGCTTCAAGTAAGAATGAATGTATAGAAACTCTATTAAAACCAATGTGTTATTTGAGTCATTTATAGGAAAATGGATGCACCCTGAGACCATAATGTTAAGTGAAATAAATCGGACACGCAAGCTTACAAATCGCACGGTTCATCTTGTAGGAAAAACCCAAAGCATGGATGAGTTAAAGAGCAAAGTAAAAGGTGGACAGTAGGAAGCAGGGTGACAGACCTTTTGCCAGAGGGAGGGGGCCGTGAGACAGAGGGAGGGAGGAGAGGGGAGGAGGGGCTGAAGAAAGAAGACCCACTACATACGTGTGCCAAGCCCACACTGAATGTAATCATGTACTGCAAACATCTGCTAAAATTTATATAAGAAATAAAAGCAACACTTCCCTGCACAAGTAAATAAAAACTCAAAGAAAGAAGAAGGTGAGCAGCACTGTGGACCTTGGCTGCCTTTCTGGTTCATGATGGCGCTGGACCGCAGGGCCTCTGGGCTTCACACAGGGCTCCACACTGTAGGCCCTTATCACTTCTGTTGCACTTACTTTTCTGATAAGGACTTCTGAAATTCACCTTCCTAAAAATTATTGATGTATTCATTAAAAACTAGTATGTGCTGACTGTACTGAACTTGGTAGTGGTGGTGCAGGGGTAAACAACACAAAAATGTACATTTCAGTACCACAAGTGAAATTTTTTTTCTCTGTTGCATAGCCTTTCTTGCAATTATAAAAGCAATGTAAGCCGAGTGCGGTGGCACAGGCCTGTAATCCCAGCACTGGGCAGGCTGAGGGAGGCAGGAGGACCACCACAAGTTGAGGGCCAGCCTGGGCTACACAGTGAGTTCGAGGCCAGCCTGAACTATATAGTGAGACCCTGTCTCAAAAAACCAAAAACAACATAATAGTTAATTGTAAATATTCATTGAAAATACTAAAATCATAAGAATAATGCAGAATTCATTAAAAATACATTTATTTGCATAAAATGTCTGGAAGATTACTCAAGACCTTAGAAAGATCTGTCTCCGGGGAAAGAACTGCAAGTTGCAGAGATAGGATGGCAAGAAAACCTTGCAACGGATTACTTTCTTGTACCCCTTTTATTTTGAGACAAGGTCTTGCTATGCAGTTTAGGCAGACCTTGAACTCTTGATCCTCCTGCCTCAGTCTTCCCAGTGCTGGGATTACAGGCAGGCGCCACCACGCCTGGCTCTGTTATGAATTTTAAACATATCAAAGTATTGTTCATTCAAAATATTCAATTAAAGTGTCTTTAAAAACAGTGAAAATCCTAATCCTATTTCCCTGCTACTGTCAACGTTCACTTGCTCGAGTCTGCAGATTTCTCCTCTTAGTCTCACCTCTTAGGCATCTATTCTTCAGTATTTCTTTTTCTTCTGCCCCAATAGCTCTGAAATCACAGAGGTTAATGTTTCTTTGACCTCTTGGGTTTGAGTCCAGTTAAATCTGTGTATCCATTTTACACTTTTGTCTAACATATATTCCACAACTTTCCACAGAGGATCCAAGGCAGCCCAAAATATAAGGACATACATTAACTTTAATAAAATACAAACAGAAATAGGAAGGTAGGATGTATTAGAAATAATCTGCATCCTTTCAAGGCATGAGAATAGCAGAGTAAGTCAGCCAAGAATTTCACATTTCCAGATGTGCAACTCTTAAAATGTCGCTAAGTGGGATACATCGTGTGGCAACACTGACCCAGAAGATCTACATGGAATTTTTCTCTACCCATCACTTGGTTGCAAAGATGTAAATGGCAGGATAGAGAGGGTCAGTGGGCAGATAACAAAGGCAATTTCCTGATCCTCAAGTGTAGGGACCTCTCCTACTACAGGGTGCCCCCAAACCCTAAAGAAAGCATCTTGATATATGGAGTTTTCTAAGTGGTACAAGTTATCTCATTGAACCTACAGCCCTGAGGTGATACTAAAAAGGTGGAGAAAGGCTGCCACCCTGGATGCAGGTCATGTGAACAGTAGCTCAGTGACAGGCAATGTGAAGGGGGTACAGAAGAGCAATGCAACCTGTGTTCGAATATTAATAAGAGTTGCAGCCCTGGACCTGTTGCCACACGTGGCCTTCTGACCTCGCAGTCCACTCTTCCTGGGAAGCTGAATTCAGAGGTCCATAAAAGAAGTTCTTGAAGATAAATGCTATCAGAGCCTAGTGTTGGTGGCTACAGAATCCCAAGTTTCTCATATACAGCCTAAATAGAGCAGTCCCTATTAAAGAAGTGACACAGAATTTATACCAAGGGAAGCTGGAAGTTTGCCTATAATTCATAAAATGACATCTGCACTGAAAGAAACTGGCAGAACTGTACAACCACTGATTAATTTATATGTGGGACCAGTAATGAATTTAAATTCACTTTTTAAAACTAGACATTCCCTAGAATCCTAAAACCCACCCACGGCACTGTAGTAACCCAGTCAGCGATCCTCTCACCTGTGACTGCTGCTTCCTAACAGACCAGCAGCCCGGCCACAGGGCTCAACCACTGCTCCCAGGGCAGGGCCGGGCCGGCTGAGGGGGCAGCAGCTCTGGGGTGGAAGTCCCTATGTCCCCTTATCCCTCTGTGCCACCCGCCACCCACTCACCATTGATATTCAGGAAAGGGAAAGTGTCTTGGATGGGAACGTGGTGCTGCGACTGATCGAGCTCATCTTCCTCATCGTCTTCATCCACATCATTATCCTTCTCGTCCCAGGGAGCAGACCCTGTGGATCCTACTTGAGACACAGCACACAGGTGAGCAGCTAAAGTGCAGTGCCATCGCTGCAGCTGACCCACCACCCACGCCAGCCACGGTCCTGAAGGCCACTGTGCACCCTCAAAGCTCTAGCAGAGAAAGTGGAAATTGAGGGTGTAGTGTGTTAGTCCCTACTTCCAGCTCCCCCCACGGAGTCCTGATGCAAGCTCCGTTCTCTTCCTCTCTGCTCCAGAAAGCTGCAAACTCTACCCCTCCTCCTGGAAATCTCCACACGTCAGCACAGCTGCACATCAGCTCCTGTGCACAGCATCCCTTCCGGGAGTCGAGGACACCAGCTTTTCACCCTGGTGCGCTTAGTGTGGAGTACAGACCCTTCCCCCGTGGCAGAGCCCCACTGATTCCCCGGGCTGTGTGTCTCAGCTACCTGCTCTTAGGGTTCATTCAGCATTGCGTAAACAGGAGGATCCAGTGGCAACCTCTTAGCAAAAGTATCCTTCAAATTGAATGATCATTCATTCAACATTTCTAAAGAACTTCATAGCTTTTGCAGGTCTGATTCACTGATTCTAACAACAGCCTTTGAAGTAGGCAGAAAAGCTGAGATCCCATCCCACACTAGAATAAAAGAAACAGGCTCAGGAGGCCCCCCAGCTTGGTTTGAATCCCACAAGTGAAGTGATAGGAGCCACGTTTAGACTTCTAATTCATCCTCCTTCAAAACCACCAGCCACTCTAGTCCCAAGAGAGGCTATTTTTACATCAGAACTCTAGATTCTCTCTACTTTCTCATGCTTTAGGGAATCCAGGTAAAAACCATTCCTCTAAAGGAGCAAGATAGTGCTGAGTTTACACCATGGATGCTCTGGGTCCTGGGCCAAGGTTTCTTACTTTACCAGTCTTGAGCTCTGCAAAGCAGGCTGACTGCAGTAGTGCTATCTTTCAGTGTCCAGCCCGGAGTCTGGCATGCTGGCCACCTTCTCCCGCAGCTGGGGCCTCACCTGGGTTAATGATGGAGCCCTGGGGCTGGGGGATGTCACACACTTGGTAAATCTTCACTGGGTTCATGGGCACCTCCTTGGTGCCATCATACATCAGGTTGAATTCCCTGCTCTTGTTGAGAGCACAGCGGAGCTGAGCCTTCCATTTAGCTGGGTCGGGGTCATCCACCCCTTCCTGGTACTTTCCCGTCTCCACAGCCCAGGCCTGAGGAACAGGAAGCCACAGTGAGGGCCTACTACTGCCCCGGCCCAGCAAGACACACACCCAGGCCTGCATCAGTGCCTCAGTCTTCACCGCACGGAGACTGCAGCAGGCAAGGCTGTCCTTAGGACCAGACGAGGTGGGGCCAAAGGGAAATGAAGCTCTGTGCAAACACAGTCCCTTGCGGGGAGGAGCCTTATCTAAGCCTTCCGGCCAGAACCTGTCGAGACAACCATGCTGCACCAAAGGGTTGGAAGTAAGGTCTGGAGCAAATATGCACCAACGCACTCTAGGATAGCAGGGTTTCTGGCAGGCTTCTCTCTGTCGTCTTGATGTGAGTTGCTTACATAACAGTAAATACGACAGAGGAGGATGGCAGATGATATAGTGTGGCCCACTGATCTTTTGCCTCCAATCTTCAATATGACACATGTAGAATTAGAGAAACCAAGTGCCTTTAGGAAGACAGGAGCTGGGTGTGGTGGTGCAGCACTCAGGCTGAGGCAGGAAGATTGCTGCTTTGAGGCCAGCCTGGGGCTACATAGTGAGTTCAAGGCCAGCCTGGATTACGTAGCAAGTCCCTGCCTCAAAAAAAAGAAAAAAGACAGGCATCCAGCTTGGCCCATGGCCGAGGGCAAGTCCTGTTAAACCTGTGCTCCCCTTCTTCCCTCTCCCTACTCAAACTGCAGCTCCGCGCTGTCAGCCACATGCAGAGCTGATGGCACAGTCTAAAACCACTTGGACTCCGCTTCGGTTTCCAAATATGGGAACTCACAGCACTGTCTCCACTCAAGGGAAACAAGCAGTCTCCCCACAGGGGAAAAGCAAATCCAGACTGCTCACTCCGTAGGCCACATTCCCCAGGGACAGAGCAGGGAGTAGAAAACCCAGGCCCTTCCAGCACTAACAGCACTCACAGTTAACGTGGCGTGATCAAAAAGTGCGGTGAATCTAGCTTTTCCAGTTTATTACAGAAAAAGACACACTGCCATTAACCCCCCTCAAAATACCCTCCCCCAGTTTGAACGCACATATCCTAGCACTGTCACCACTTTCCGAAGCAGTTCTGGAAGTCCTCTTTTGTGAGTGTCTTTGGTGCCACAGTTGTGGCCAACTTGATGTCCTGAAGCAATTCAACACATTCACCTTTCACAATCATTTTGTCTTTGGAGAGAAGCCAGAAGTTGGTTAGTACCAGATCCAGTGAATAAGATGAACGAGGACAACCTTAAAGTTCCTGCAAGCCTGCCTCTTCCCATTTGATGGCACTCAGCAGCAGCAGTCACTGTATTTTTTATTGCACTTTGTAAAAACACTCAGGAAACAGACTTCCAGAGCTGCTTCAGAAAATGGCAAGAATGATGGGATCAGTCTGGTCAAAGCAAGGGGATATATTTAGAGGGGGGTTGATGGCAATATATCTTTTACTGTAAAAATTTTTTAAATTTTTTAAAAATTTAAATTTTATTTTTCATGTCTGTTGATCATGCCTTATATGTTGCTACTCATGGGATACCAACCCTCACTGGTTGCTAAGACACTTTCTGATCACTAAGCAGACACATTAAATACAGAAAAAGGAGATGTGATTAGAGAGAACTCAAGACAGGAAAGACACTAACTTCTTAAAAAATTGGCAGAGCGTATCACTAGTCCAGACCCAACTCTGCATCTCTGGTTCCGTCCAGACTTCTTCCTCAAGCTGAAACTCAATCTTTCTGCCCCATCCTTTCAGCTCTCTCCCCTCTGTCGAGCCTAGCAGTCATGAGGGAGATTCTTTCCAGACCTGACCTAGTCATCCACCTCCTCCAAATCAGACCCACTTCCTCTTACCATCTCCTTAGATGTGGGTCCTCCATGTGCTTTGTGGTATGGAATGAAGAACTCTGACAGAGCCATGCCATCCTAGGTGGCTTGGCAAGTACCGGGGGGCCTAACTCCTGCCATTCCATCTGACCCACCCCGGGGTTCCAGCTCCATGGGCCCCTTGTGTCTGGGAGGCACCACTGCATGACCGCCCCACATTTTCTATCCTGTCTGATCCTCCGTCCATGCTCACTGTGGCCCCACCCAGCTAACTTGGGCTGTGCCAGCTCTGGCAGAGGTTTTAGAATTTCGGTGGTTCCCAGAATCCTGCTTCTCTGTGGAGAGCAGCCAGATCAATGTAGGACCACAGGTTCCTGCTCATACCCGGTGTCCCCAGGCTGCTCGGATGATGCTGAGGACCCCCGGCTGATGCAGCAGAGGGGCCGACCCTTCTGGATGGAACATCGGGCTCAAGGAAGGATGCCACATGGCAAACCAGTGAGACTTAGGGACATTACTCGATCAAACCCAACCTAAGTCTTGTTTCAGAGCCTCTGTTCAGTGTGCAGGTCCTTATTTCTCTTCCTAAAATGGAGGAATCTCTGTTTTATAGTGCTCAACAAGCCCCTCTCCATACCGGATTCCACTTGATTCTCACAGTAGTTCTGGGAGGCAGGCAAGACTGGCGCCATCTCATTTACTACATGGGAAACTGCAGTCTGGAGAGGTGACATGCCCTGTTCGGGACCACACACGTAGTCAGTGGTGGCAGAATTTGCGGCCACATAATCCAGTTCCTCGTCAGAAAACGGGCAGTACGATGGCAAGAAGCAGCATTGGGGACCAAAAAGACACAAGTTGAAATCCCAGACCCACCATTTACTGGCTGTGTGATCTTTGACAAGTTAGCAGCCCCTCTGAGGGTAACTGCACGCACAACATGCGGGCGGCACTTCACTTACAGGGTTACCATGAGAATTCAGTGAGGTCGTGGACACAGGCCTCATGGCCCCTCAGTGCCTCGCCTGCACACCTTGCCCAAGGCTATCCGAGCCTGGCTCTGTGAAAACATCCTTGCTGTTCTGCTGACCTCCCAGGCCCTCCCTTAGCATTCTACAAATAGCTACAGTGATAGAGTAAAGCAAAGCAGCCTCCTGGAGCTTTCTCCGAGTCCCAAGCATGCAGGATGCCCTTATGAGTGTGGCTGTCAGGAAACCTGCCTCTTCTGCATAGCCAGCCAGGCCTTTCAACAGCAAATCCAGTTCCAGCCCAAGACCACCAACCCCCAAAACTGCTTTACACGTTTTCCCAAACACCCCATTGTTCATGTCCGCGTGAAGAGTGCCCACAGCTCAGCTTTCTGTCTCCGCTCTCACAGCTGTCGTGACCAGGGCAGGCATGGAGCCATGCTGGACGCCGCTCCAGAGCCCTGTCCTGGCCCCACTGCAGCACGGACCTGGGCCATCAACCACAGGCCTGGCTGGACTGACTTCCACCTTGCTGCTCTTAGTCAGGGGAAAAAAGCACAAGCTCACTACTCTGTGTTCTGGGCACAAGAAATAAAGCTGTTCCCAAGATGGAGGAGACTCAGGGAGAAGTCGGTGTAGAGGCGGCCCTGAATCATGACCACGTGGGTGGGTGGGTGGAACCCCTTTTCCTTTCCAAAACAGCCACCTACCTATTTGTCTGGCCAAGCTTTAATTCACTTAAATTTTGTAAGATGCTATGTGATTAAATCTTGTTTTCAGCTAAAAAAAAAAAATGACATCACATCAGAGCTATTTTTAATTTAAGAAAACATAATTTGGTCAGGGTGAAGCTTAGTGGTGGAGTGCTTTACAAGTGTAAGGCCCTGGGTTCAATCCTAGTACTCCAAAAAGAAGAAAGGAGGAAAGCAAAAGAGAAGGAAAAAAGTTGGCATGGTGCCGCATGCCTGTAATCCCAGCACTCTGGGAGGCTTGAGTCAGAAGGATGGGCAACCCATTTGGACCCTCCTGTTTCCCAGGAGCCATTCCTATTCCCCAATCCCATTCCCCAATAAAATTTCGTACTCTTAAAAAATAAAAAGAAAAAGGACTAAGGGTGAGCTTGGTACAAAGACCCTGGGTTCAATCCCCAGTACTAAGAAAAGGAAAAACAAAAAAGAAAGAAAACATACTTAAAGAATTTAAAATTTGTACTTAAATCACCATTCATTTTTAAGCAGAGTTTACGAATAGTGCAAAATATTTTGCTATCACAAGAATATCTTGCTACGGCCCTCTGGCCCCTCTCTTGACCCTGGACAGTTCTGCCCTGAGTAGCCACCCCGAGGCTGAGCTCCCCTCTTAAAGACAAGGCAGAGCCGAAGGAAGGAGGGAGAGGCAGCATCAGTGTGGACCCAGGCACTTTGGGCACGACCACATCACTATGACAGGAGTGAGGATCTGCATCCAGCGAGGACTGGAGGGCTCAGGGATCCCTGAGTTTGGGGCTTACTGTATTCCCTGTGCTGAAACAGACAGCAAACAAACCCAGAAAAGTCTGAGAAAACGGGAAAATTTCAACTTAGATGGTAGGAGTCCTTTACCTTAAAAATGGTGTTTTCCTCCTCCTGCTGGGGGCTATGCCGGGTGGCATGCTTCCAGGGGATCTGGAAGCGTTTGGAGTCTCGGTGAAGCCAGATGAGCCCAGGGTAGAGACCGCTATCCACCTGGGCCACCAGCCAGGGCTTCAGCCGCACTCGGCGGGGGTGCAGGGCCATGATCGGGCAGGGGCTGAGAGTGGGCAGAGCAACAGCATTAGGCTGGTCACTGGGAGCTTCTCCCAGCCGCCATCCCGTACACTGGAGCTAGAGTTTCATTAGATTACAGCGAAGAAACTAAATATGGGAATAAACCATGCCAAGTGGGGAAGAAAAGAAGAGAGGTTAAAAGGTTCTTCTGATTCTTATTCCAAAGCCATTTATACTTCATGCTCTAGCCAAATCAGACTTATCATGCAGGTAGATCACATTTCTTCTATTTCAATCCTGAAGCAGGAAAATAAAAAGGTGATGTCATCCCTGCTGGAACAGGCCTTCCTGAAGTAGCAAGGGCTTTGGAAGAGAGGGTGAGGGCCCCTTGCAGGCTCACCTCACCTCGGAGAGGGAAGACAAGCTTATGGAAACAGCAGGTATCTTGTGAGAAGCTGAAGCGCGCTGCTTCATTTGAAATAGGAAAACCGAAAGTGAGTGTGGATGTTTTGCTAAGAAGTGACACCATTGTGGGGAGGGAGTAGGTGAGCCACAGGTCCTGGATTCCAAAGTCCTCACACTTATGCTTACTTGGGGGAGCGGCAGTCTTTCCAAGGGGAGCTGAGCAGCTGGGCTGAATCTGCTTTCCTTCCTGCTGGCCACCGGAAGACTGCAGCAAGAGAAAGGTCTCAGCTGGTTATCCACAGAACACTCCAGAGCTAGAAGGTGGGAGAAGAGTAGAGACCACGGCTCCGGGAATGCTTTCCGGCTACTGAGCCTGGTGAAGCACAGAAAGCCTGTACGAATCCAGCCCCACGGTCCCTAGCTCAGTCACACAGGCTCTCCCGGCTGGGCCAGCCTCCTTCCTGGGTCTGTGTGTCGGGCCACACCAGCTGAGTGGACTGATTGGTTACAGGCGCCAGCCTGGTTAAAGTCTGCAATTGATTCTCATAGAACTACACAGGTGGAGCAGGCAACAGTGCATAGGAGCTGGTGCTCAGAGCCAGAAACAGACCTGTCCGGGCTGGGCACCCAGAGGAAAAATCAAGCACTGCAGAACTGTTTGCCTGCGACATTGAGTTTGGATTTTTTGGTGTTCTTACTTTGTTTTTACTCAAGATGAGATAAATGGGCGCCTGGAAAACTAACAGTCATCTGACAAATATTTGTTCTCCAGCTACCATATGCCAAGCGCTGTGTTAGTCACTGAACATTTTGAGACTGGAGCGACTTAAAGCCCACAGAGCAGTTACCTGCACACCCAGAAAGGTCCTCTCCTGAATCACAGCTCTGAAGCCAAACCAGTTGGGTCAGCTTAAGGCTTCCACTCAGAGCAGCCCAGCCAGGGAGACCCCTGATATCGCTGGCTCCCCACAAGGTGAAGAGCCCAAGCCCTGCTGAGCCACTGGCACTTTAAGAGCAAGGAGGGAACTGCTCTCATCTGAGCCTCTGACCCAGTTACTGAGCCCTGCAGCTGACACCTTCCCCTTGGGCGCCCAGCGCAGTGGGAGGTGAGCTTGGCTGCTCTGCTCTGCTAGGGGTGCTCTGGGGGGAGTGTGTGAAGCCGCGAGGCCTGGGAGTACCTGAGTACCTCCTGAGGAGGGAATGCAGTCTCCCAAGGCCAAGCTCTACCTTCTCCCAGGCCTGACCCTGCGGAAGGGGGCGGGGCAGGGGAAACGTAAAAGGGGAAAGGACTGCACACCGATCACCCAGGAAGAGATTTTCAGAACTTCGGTGGCAATGCTGGTAAGACCTGGGCCTGGGCCTGTCGGGCACATGACTCGCTCCTCTTGGCGATCAGGGGCCTGGACTTGATCTGCAGCACGTCCAGAGAAACTCCAGGTGCCCAGGCCACAACACGCAGCTGTACCTGGTGGTGGGGAAGGAGGAGCAGCCCCTGTGGAGCTGGTGACTGAGCTCTGGGCCTCGGGCTCCCAGTGCCCCCAGGATGGGACTGCACAGAGCAACCCACCTCAGCCTCTTGAGCAGGAGCCCGGACGCCCTCCGCAGTGCCCTGCCTTCCTCGCTGCACACCCTCACCGCCTTCTGGATGTGAGCAGGTCTCCCCACCTGCCATGTGATTACCAAGACTACTCAGATAGGCAGAGGGAAACATCAAAAGCAGCCAAAGTGACAGACAGATGGGTAACTAAGTCAGACCCCTGGCTGCACAGCACACAGCCATTTGCAAGTGTCCAGAGAATTATGGGACTCGAGGAAGTGTTTCCAGTATGAAGGGCGGAGGGAGGGGAAGGAAGCCCACGACAGACTGCGAGGAACACCTCCACTTTATAATAATGCAGCACATTGCCGTGCAAGTGGATGTACATACTGCGGGAAATACAGCGCTGCAGTTATTTGGGGATGAGACTGCAGGTACTTTTTTTTTTTTTTTGGTAACAGGGATGGAGCTCGGGTCCTTGCGCTTGCGCAGCAGGTGGCGAAACCACTGAGCTAAATCCCCGGCCCTGCAGGTACTTTATACTTTCCTATATGATTCACATTTTGTTTGTTTGTTTTTATGAGATAAGACCTTGTTATGCAGTTTGGGCTGGCCTTGAACCATGTACTCCAGGCTGGCCTCAAACTCACAGCAATGTTCCTGCCTCAGCCTCCTGACAGTGTTTCAATTTACAATTGTCTTTTTTATGCAAGTAGTAGTTTTTAAGCACAAGACAATACGTTTGAAGTATGATAACAACAATCCTTGCCGGGCATGGTGCTGTAGCCCTATACTCCCAGCACTTGGGAGGCTGAGGCAGGAGGATCCCTGTGAGTTTGAAGCCAGCCTGGGCTCCAGATTCAGCCAAAGTCTACAAGGTGAGACCCCTATCTAAAAAAACATCCTTCATATTTGCAGACTTTTCAGTTTCTTAATGTGTCTAATCCCACCCTGGGAACCCTAGAAGTGGTACAGCTGGGCTAACTGAGGCACAGGAACATGAGGGCACTGTCTGGGCCCAGGTCCAGCACTGTGGTCAGAGCACTGCACCACATCTGGCGCTGCGCCCGCCCCCCTTCCATGCACAAGAGGGCAAACCGAAGGGCCTGGATGTAGCTCAATGGTTCCACCGCCTGCCTCGAAACCGCAAGGTCCTGAGTTTGATCCCCGTACCAAAAAAAGAGAAGAGAGAGAGGAAACCAAAACAGCGCCCAAGACCGAAGGCGACAGCCAGCCAGGCGGGGAGGAGGTCTCCTGACTGCCACCCGTGAACACACCTGAAGGAGACCTCGCTTCTCCGCCACTGCTTACTATTCCAGGCTGGCCTCAAACTCAGCGGTCTTCCCACCTCGGCCTCCGGAGTGCTGAGATCACAGGCGTGCACCACCACGCCCAGCCCAGAGCTGGCTTCCTAAACACTGCCTGCCCCTCGGCCTCAGCCCACAGGAAGCCGGCCCCTCTGCCCTCGCGTCAGGTTCAAGGCCTGGGTCTGAAAGCGTTTAACCGCGCGATGGACAAAGTTGTCACTGCCCACTGACCCCACGGTGCCCACGGAGCAGCGCCGCTCAGCCTGCCGGGGCCTCTCTCACCCCATCCAGGGTGGTCTGCACGCAGGCCGGCCGGCCCTGCACCGCCCTGCCCCGCCGGCCTCTGTCCGGGACTGCGCACGGCTGCGATTGGCTCTGCCCGCGGCTTTGCTCGAGTAAGACCGCGCTGCCCCTTCTTCAGGCAGCAGCCTCGGGGACGGTTCCACTGTTCCCCTCCTGCCCGAAGGGGGCTGGAACGCCACCCGAAGCCCCTGGCCTTCCCTGCATCGGGCCCGGCCCTGCTCGGCACGCCCCGGCCCACTCCCCACGCCCTTCTCAGGCCGCCTTGGACTTCTCCACACCACACCAGCCTGCCGGCTCCGTGGCAGCGCCTGCCGCTCGCTCCCTGGCTTCCTCGATGCGCACCGGGAGGACAGGGTCGGGGCCAGGCGGCCGCCAACCCCTGTCCCTCCCGGGCCAACCCCAGCCCCGTGGGCCAGCGAGGGGCTCACCCGGCGCCACCTCCCAGCACCCCGTCCGGCTCCGGGAAATCCAGGGGTACAAGAGGCCTGGCCATGCGCAACGCACTCAGGGGAAACAGCCCGGGCAGAGCGCCGCCCGCGCCGCGGAGACGGGCAGCGGGCCCGGGCGTCCTCCCTGGCAGCACGCGGGCGGGCAGGCGAGGAGGGGACGCCCGAGGCGGAGCAGCCAGGTCCCGGGGGCGGAGAGGGACGGAGGCCCCTCGGTGGGCCAGGGACGGGAGCCCCGAGCCACCTGCAGGAGTGCACGGCGCCCACCCACGGACTCTGCCGCGGACCGCCCCGCCTGCCTGCGGTGTCTCCCTCCCTCCAGGTCCTCTCCGGAGTGGGCGCCCCCACCTTTCCTGCGTTGGCTACCAGAAGCGGACGTCCCTCCGAACCTAGTCCACCGCTAAAATCGCGATCGCCGCCGGCTGCGCGCCGGCCTCGAGCAGCCCCTACCTGCCCGCCCCAGGTGAGCAGAGCTCACGTCAGCGCCGCGCCCCGGGACGCCGCAGCCCCTCCGCCGCCTGGCCACGCCCTCCAGGTGTGGCCACGCCCTCCAGGTGTGGGATTGGATAGTTGCGAGAAATAGGATACTCCGCGTTCCAGGGCCACCCGGCCCCGCCCTGCCTCCTCCCCACCCGACTCCCGGCCTCGACCCGGCCTCGGAGAGTCCGGGACTCGGGCCTCGCCCTGCGCCTCGGGGCCGGTGGTCCTGGGAATTGGAAGCGACTGGGAGGTCAACTCTAGTTTCCGAGGTGCCTCCCCACCTTCACGCCCCGTAATTACCGAAGGCATGGAGACAGTCATGCTCAGATAAGGGCTTCAGATTCCGAGCTGTCCCCGCTGTCCTGCACTGGGCTGCAGGGAGGGAACTTGGGGCCTGGGTTCTGTCCCTGTGGCCCCCAGAATTGGATTCTGCCTGTGACCCTGGTAAACTCCAGGGCTTCCCTTCTCGGCTTCAGTTTTCTCATCTGCTCAGTGAGAACAACGAAGCCCGCCCTTTCTAATCACTGGCGGGCAGCAATTGAAAGCATTGCCTTGGAGCCAATGATTGGGGTTCCAGCCCCAACTCTGTCAGGGGCAACAGGCTGGAGAAGTGTTCTTAAGCTCCCGACTTGGGTTTCCTATCTGCAGAGTGAGGTTACTCTGTGGGGTTCAATGCTCCGTATAAAGTGCCTGGAGCACTTAGCAAGCGCTACACAAGGGCAGGCAGTATCGTCCATGTAAGGGATAAAAAAAGTACCACACAGACGGCGCCCCCAGTGAGAGGGGGTCCCTTATCACGTTCCTTCCTCTTCCCTCCGCCCAGAAGGCCAGTGCGTGAGACTCCCCACCCTCAAGCCTTCCAGGGAGATGGGCCAGGCAATGTTTAGGGGCCCATGCTTAAAGTAATGAGGGGAAACCGTGGAGGCATGCTGGTGTGGCCCCCACTTCATATGTGAAGTCCTAACCTCCAGTATTCCAGAATGAAAGCACTCTTGGAGACAGGGCCTTTACAGAGGTAGCCAAGTGGAGGGGGTCATCAGGGTGAGCCCTAATTCAACAAGCAGGGTCCTTAGAAGAGAAAGAGATGTCAGGTGCAGTAGCACTGCACTCGGAAGTAATCCCAGCACTCGGAAGGCTGAGGCAGGAGGCTTGCAGAGAGTTTGAGGCCAGCCTGGGCTACGGAGTGAGTTCAAAGCCAGCCTGAACCACATGCGGAGACCCCGTGTTTTAATTAATTAATTACAAGGAAGCGATTTGAACATGGAGGCAGACATGTATATCAGGAATATGATGCAAAGAGCCAGTGAGAAGGTAGCCATGTAGAGAGAGACGTGGAAAAGATGCTTCCCCCACAGCCCTCAGACCCTAACTCCAGAATGATGAGAAAATAAATTTCTGATTTTTTATTTTTTTTGAGACAGGACCCACTGTGTAGTTCAGGCTGGCCTCCAACTTGCAGCAATCCTCCTGCCTCAGCCTCCGGAGTGCTGAGATTACAGGCATGCGCCACCACACTCAGCCTGAATTTCTGCTGTTTAAGCCCCCTTGTCTGGGTATATTATTATGACAGTCCCAGTGAAATAACATAAGTGATTTGGGGAGCCCCAGATTGGTGATGATGTGGGCTTGTTCCCAGCCCCACTCGGCTTTGGGATGCAGCCAGCAGAGGCCTGGGAAGGCAGGGTGCCCTGGGGCTGGGCCCAGGCAGCTTCACTCCCAACTGCTGCCCGTGGCCAATCTTCCCTTCCTCTGGGAGGGGCTCACTCTCCAACTGGCCCCGCTTTATTGCTGATGAGCTCACTAAGTAAGCAGCATCTTCCATCTGGCCCAGGCTGGGCTGCTGAGGCCAAGCAAACAGTCCTCATAGGGGTGTGTGTGTGTGTGTGTGTGTGTGCGCGCGCACACGCACACGTGCGTAACTGGGGGAGACCACCAGGAGTATGTCGTGTGAGGGGAACCGAAAGTCCAATGGCACACAAGCGTGAGGCCACAGCCAGGCACCCACTTTTGCACTATCGGAAGTTCCAGTGATGAAGTGAATTCTGGAGGATCTACTTGAAAGCATGGATTTCGGAATCAAGGAAGTTCAGACTGGAGAGTCCTTCTGGATCCTCTGGTCCAGGGCAAAGCTGGCTTAGGGATGTCCGTTCCACTCACACAGTATTTTAAATTCCTACAGATTGGATTCAGGTCCAGCAGCATCTCTTGAAGAGTCCTGAGCTCTGGGCTCCCTGGCTGTGCTTCCAGCCCCTATTTACAGGGAATCTATGAAGTACAGTGGACCAGGCTCTCTCATGTCTGTAATCACCTGACCCTACCGACATCTGAGTTCAAATTCCCCTTTTTGTAGGTGAGAAAGCTGAGATCCCAGAGAGGTTGTGTGATTTATTCAAAGCCACACAGCAATGTAGCCACAAAACCGAGACTAGGCCTCGAACCCACGGCTCTTTGCACTTGGACTCTGATCAGCATCCCACCCAGAGTCTACTCTGACTGATGTTAACTGCGTAAAAGAAAATCGCCCGTGGATCCAGGCACTGTCCCTACTACATGGAACAGAACAAAGAGTCCCTCTCCTGAGGAACTGATGAAAGGGGAGAAAGAGGAGCAACCAAGGCAGAGATCCTCAAGGAGGAAGCCCTGACTCTCCACGTGTGAGACCCAGCGGGACACCACTTTGCAGTCTGCTTTGCTGGCGACCGTGCCTCATCTGCGAGGTCCAGGGAGGAGAGCACCTGGTGAGCCCCTCTACAGCCCTGGAGAAACCAGCCCTTTGGGGCTCAGGCACCCCCGCTGTGCCTGGGAACTGCATGCCTCTGTCAATTCCCCCTGTCTACCCCTCAGCTTGTGCGCTGTTGACTCACTTGTGAGTCTGAGTTTCAGGGAGTGGGATGTGCGTTTCAGCACAGGGCCCTGATTCACGGCAGGGAGGGACTTGGGGATTCCCCTGGGCTGCTCCGGCAGCTCTTATTTGTGGAAAGGGGTCTCTTCCCACAGGTCTTTAAATTCTACAGTGTCAGACATGCGGCACAGCGCTCCAAGGCCCAGATCCTGCTCTTCTTGGCAGAACAGAGGGCGTGGTAACTGGGCACTCCCGAGGGCCCTGTATGGTGAGAGCTCAGCGTCAGCCTTGCTGCGGTCAGTTGGAGAGCAAGGGATCTCGGGGGCTGGACTGCAGCCTGGCAGGATTGCTACAGAGGGGTGGATGTTGAGCTAAACACACAGAGTCTGCCTCTCTCTCTCCCTCTCTCTCTCTCTCTCTCCCTAGGTTAGTATGGAGATTGAACCCAGGGTCTTCCTAATGAGCTACATTCATAGCCCTTTTTAAATTTTTTATTGTAAGACAAGGTCTTGTAGGGCACTAACTTGACCAGTATGGACTCAAACTTTTGATCCTTCTGCCTCAACTGCCCAGAGTTCTGGGACTGCAGGCCGTGCCACCACACCCAGCTAACTCTGCGGTCTCTTAAAGGAAGTTAGAACCAGCAGGTTTACTCCAAATCCTTTTTTGGCCCAGGTTTATCTGCCTTTATCAAAAATATATTTTTTTTTGGTTCTGTTTTGAGACAGGGTCTCGCTATGCAGTTCAGGCTGGTCTTGAACTCACCACGTACCCCAGGCTGGCTTCAAACTCCCAGTGATTCCTGAGGGCTGGGGTCACAGGTATGCGCCACCATGCCTGGTTTATCCAAATATTTCCAGGTACAGGGCTACACACACTGCCCAAAAAGGCCAGAGTGCAAAGTACATTGTCTGGTCTCTTACCATCCCTCCTTCTGCCCTCTTACCCTATGTGGTCTGCATCCTAGAATCATGGAGGTGGCCAGGAGCCGCTGCAGGTTGGCAGCAGAAATAAATATGTAAATGAAACACAGCTTTCCAACCTCAGCAACCGAAGAAGAGCCTGGCTGGAGGCTCTAGGAGAGTTCCCTACCGGAGCATTTTGAGTTGTTAATTTCCAGCTTTCTTTTTATGCACTGGTAAGTGGCTTTCTTCATTCCAAAGTTGGGCCTGTGTGGGAGGAGGAGAGCAAAATCAAGACTCAGTGCACCCCAGTCCTAGAGTCCACGTTGCCCCGCTCCCTGGCGGGGAGGTTTCCCTCGCTCTGCAGGCAGAAGGACTGAACAAGGACCTGCAGCCAGCATGAACAACGGGGAGGTCACGGTTCTGATCCAGATGAGCTGCCCTGCGAGACCAAGCAGAAGTGCGATTTTGGCTTCCTCGCGGCACAAACCACCTTCCCTGTGCTCTCAGGCTGCTTGAAAAGAGCCAGGGGGGCTGAGGGCGGGGTGGAGGGGCTGTGGGGTGGGCCGCCAGCTCTGCCGCCCCATCCAGGTCCCGCTGTGTAATCACCCTCTCCAGATGTCCTGGGGAGGGAGGGCCCTGAGTTCTCACAGAAGGGAGCCTCTGCAGGCCAGGAGCTCCCAGCCCAGCGCCAGCCTCAGTGTGAGCTAAATGAGTACTGGACCATTTGGCAACTTCCGAAAAGTGACATTTGGAGCTGGACATGGTGGCGCGGGCCTTCGATCCCAGCTACTTGGGACACTGCAGCAGGAGGGTCACAAGTTTGAGGCCAGCCTGGGCAGCGTAGCAAGACCTTGTCTCAAAATAAAATAAAAGGACTGAGATGCAGCCTCCTCCTCCCTGGGTTCAATCCCCAGTACAAGCCTCCTCCCCAAAGGCAGGCATGTACACAGAATCTTTCAGGGGAGCAGGGGCAAGAAGAGGGACTTCTGTTTACTATAACAGATGTGTTTAGCTTCTGTCCTTCCCCAGTTCACCCGTGTGATGGCAATGAAGGAATTAAAAATGTGTATAGACCCACAAGGTTCAAGGAAAATAAAAAGTAGGAGAGATGATAAGAATGGATGAAAGATTTCAACAATGTTAGGAGATAAAATATTATTTGAGCAAAAATGATAACCATTGGGGATGGCTGTTCTGGTTATAAACCTTGCAGTACTGTTGGATTTATAAAGCAGATATACGTAACATTTATCCAAATATTTTTATCATTACTTTTTTTTTTGGTACCAGGGATTGAACTCGGTACCTTGTGCTTGTATCATTACTTTTTTTAAAAAGAAGAAGAAAAAGCATTTGTGAAGGAGCTGAAGAGATGCCCCAAACACTTCTCCTTGCAACAGTGCCTACCTTTGTGACTGGATTCTGCACGCAGCCCTGAGCCCCTCCAGAACACAAACTGGGCTTTGGAATGAGTCAGGTTTGTGTGGAATTTTCCTTCTCTAATTTCCCAATCCTACGAGCTGTCCAAACCTTAGTTTGCACACCTCCTGACTGAGAATACAGCCTCTCTTACAGCATTGAGGAGATGATTAAATGAGATAAATAAGACATTCAGGGGTCTCAGCAAATGTTATTTTTCTCCACTCCTATATTCCCCACCTATACCCTGTCTTTAGGCAAGGATATGGCACAGTTTGGGCACCTGGTATTCCCTTAGCAAAACCCTGTGGAAGTTAGACATGTGTTCCCGTACACGTATTTGTGAGGCAGAGACTGAAGACTTGGGTTTCTGTTATTGGGTCAGGAGTGAGGCACAAGTGGCCTCAGCTGGGGGTGGGGAGGGATTCTCTGGAGATGTGGCTGACTAAAAGACAAAGAAAAGAGTGTAAATGAGTGGTTCTTAGCCAGGTAGCAGCCCCACGCCTCACTGCTCCACTGTGGGACTCTTCTCTTCCTGCAGGGCACCTGCCAAGCCTCCAGGGACACTGACCCACCGGTAACACTGTGCCTCTGTCTACGGGGTTTGGAGTGGCTCTGAACTGCCCAGAAAGCCCTCTAGACCCCCATCCACATGCACTTCTCCATAGGACCGGGGAGTTTAGTTCCATAATGCAAAGAGGACATCGGATCGGGTCCCTGCCCCAGGCATTGGCGGCCTAAACGTGCCTCAATTCCTGGAGCTTAAATCCCAGCTTTGTCTGAGCTAAGGTGCAAGAATCCAAGTCACCCTTAAAGGTGGCCAGATGCCCCAGGAGGGGTGGCCAGATGCCCCAGGAGGGTTACCCAGACTGAGAAGGAAGGGAGACACACATAAAACACAGGAGTCCAGTGTAGATCTCTTGTAAGTCCTGGCTGGGAGAAGGCTCCAGAGCAGAGGGACTTGGGTCTTTCTAACCGGGGACCCTTCCCCTGTGCGGTAACAAGCCCAGCCCTTTCCCTCAACACTCGGTAAGCGTTTATCGAGCGTCTGCTGTACAACAGAGAAAATCCCTGCTCTTCGAAACTTCCTGCCCCTTGTCTCCTTCTCTTCCCACCCAAGCTCTGTTTCAGCCCCCACTTCCCGCCCCTCTGCTGTTGCGATCACCTCCTGCCCAGTGCCCAGCCCCGCTCCAGTCCATCCTGCAGCCCCATATCTGACATTTCGTGGCTTCTTAATATTTGTTGAATCAAGAAACTTTATTCCTTCTTCCCCCAGGACATGTGTGCTGTGTGACTGCTCGGTGCCGGGCTCTGTTCTCAACGCCGAGTGCCCAGCCCTGAGCAGGATGAGTAACGGGCTCTGCTCTCACGCGGGTTCGTCCCAGTGGAGGAGACAGCAGCGAAATGAACACGCGGAGTGGTAGCGATTCCTAAGAGCAACAGGCGACTGACGACGGTCAGGAGGCGGCATGGTGCAGTCTCGTTTTCAGCAGACTAGAAAGCAGACGGCGCTGCGCAGAGACTCAGGGCTGTGGGGAAGGAAGGTGGGTGGCAGAGGGGAGGTCCTTCCCGAGAGGGAATGGCAGGCGCTTGCCTCCCTGCTAAAGACGGGCAGGAGGCCGGTGTGGCTGGAGCCGGGAGAGCGGGGAGGGGCGGCTGCTAGCCCGTGGGACCGAGGCGAGCGAGGCTGCCCCCTCAGGGCCTAGGGCACCGCTGGGGGCTTCCGAGCAGGGGCTGATGCGACTCAGGCTGTTTGCAGGCTCACGCTGGCTGCTGTGTTTCAGCAGGGAGCACGGCCAGGCAGGGGAACCAGTTGGAAGCCCTCTTTCAAACCCTCGCCTACTTTTCCAGCCGTATCTCTGCCCATTCCTCCACCTTGAGCCATGTTGACTTTATCTCCCTTGAATACACCGAGCACCTGCTGGCCTACCTTCATGAAGTTCCCTACTACTGTGCTGTTACCCAATCTCCTCTACAGACATCACCTCACCTAATGTGCACGTTTTGGCTTCATTGATTGAGAAAACTGAGGCTTTTGACACATTGTTGCCAGCTGGAAGGCTCCTGGGCCCAACTAAAATCTCGGGTGGACTGCTGGCTCCAGGTCATGTGACTCTCTGGGCATTTCCTCCCGGGAGAGTGGTCAGGTTATCCTGAAAAGTCAATGTAAGACTTCTGGAGAGAAAAATGGAAGCATGAACAACAGTTCGGGCAACTGTATTGAAATGGTTTAGAGGGACCTCACGGCATGGTCAGGACACTGAGACTAGCTGGCCTGTAGGGTTTGGAGTGATAACTTAGGCAAGAGAGAGACCCTGAGTGTCATATCAAAGAGCTAGACTTTCTCTCATTTACAGCAAAGAATTATTGAAAGGTTTTAGGCAAACAAACCAAAATACTGCGTAGACCGAACAAGTAGAGTGTCTAGAAATGATTAGAACTGCGGCTCCTCGGTGAGCAGGCTTTCTCCCTAGTAGAAGATCCCACCTGTGCTGAGGGCCATATAAGACGTACAGGCCCAGTTCTGCCGCTGGGGAATCTTGGTTTTATGTAAAATCCACCTATTTTTTATGTAATTGCAACAGATTTTTAATGGCATGAGCCACAAAGGGCTCCACGCTGGGGCCTCGGTCCTGGAGTGTGAATGAGCTTCAAGAGAACAGGGCTTTGTCCATGTTTGCCACCACGTTCTCGGGGCCTGGCACACAGTAGATGTGCAATATACATGTGTTACATGCGTGTGTTAATAGCATTTCCATTTTACTTCTGAGGAAACAAAGTCATAGCAGACAACCCACAAGGTTACAAGGAAAGTGGCCCTGGTCGGGCTCGAGTCCAAACTTTTGAACTTCAAAATATTTGTAGGTAAGTTGACGTATGCCAGGCACAGTGCTGCAAGTCTGTGATCCCAGCACTCCAGGAGGCTGAGGCAGGAGGACTGCAGGTTCAGGCCTGGCCTGGGCAACTCAGTGAGACCCTGTCTCAAAATTTCTTAATTTTACAAAGGGTTGGGGATGTAGCTCAGTGCAAAAGCCTTTGGTCCAATCTCCAGTAAAACAACAACAAAGACAACTTGACGTATAATACAGATGAAATGAGAGTAGAGATTTCCTTACCAGCATCTTCAGCACTCCCAACCGAGGGCTGTCCCACACACTGCCAATGTCCCTTGCATGGTTGCAGCTAGTTTTAATCCCTAAGAAACGTCTGATCCCACTATCTGGGACCCCCACCCCCACCCCGACCTAGCAATCAAAGATGAGGGAGCCCACAAACCACCTGTCCCTCCCAGTGCAGGGACATTTGCCTGATGATGAGCTGCTAGAGGCAGTTGCTCCCAGGCCTTTCAAATCCAAAGAAGGCCTCATCAGGCCTATGCTGGCCAGGTGCCTAACTAGGGAAGTCCCCTGGGATAGCCAAGAACCTTCAAAGCTCTCTTTGCTCTAGTTCACTATTTATAAAACATTCTCAGCAGAGCTAGGCACAGCTGCTGCATAAACAGAAGTGGAAGGTGAGAGCACAGTAGATCTAGCGAAGGGTGTCTCAGGAAATACAGTACCAGCAGTGGAAGCTCTAACGTAAGAGTCAGGATTTCTCCTAGATCTCGGTTGAAATAAAACTGATCCAGCCTTCCTTCTTTCCTTCCTTTCCTCGTCCTCCCTTCCTCTAGTCAGCCATGCAATAAACATCTAATAAAGACCTTCAGTGTGCCATGACCGGCCGGTAAGGGTCCAATGGCGCCTAGGAGCCCAGTGTGCTGTACTTTGTCCCTACATACCCTCGTGATTCGGGATAAAGAGGTCCAGGAACATTGGCTCGTTTTCCCAACTGCTGAAATTCACAGGGAGAGTTACTGCTGTCATTCTCCCTAGGATTCTCCACAAGCACTTGAACAGTGTGCCTTTGTCTGGAATCCTCTCAGAGTCCCCTCCCGGGAGGAAACATCAGGGCTGAGCATGATGCCCCTTCTGCAGTGGAGCTCCCTGGTCAGCATTACCAGCCGGAGAGCACTTGGGCCCTGGCATTTTCTTCAAATGGCTTTATTTTCCAGTTTGTCAGGGGATTTTAAAATTTTAACTTTTCAAAGGGTTTTCGCTGAGGTCCCAGAGCTACCAGGAGTAAGGCAGTGGCCCCACTGGGTTGGGCTGACTCCTGCCTTTCCGTGAGGTCACGCACAGGAACCACGGCTGGCATTTGGAATGTTAATCTGGCCCAGAGGCCTGAGGAGTATCACAGGATGTGAATGCTGTGACCATCTGCTGTCCTTGACCCTGACAGAGCCCAGGGCTGGATGTGGAGTGCTGGAGCCTGAGAACTTCTCTCAGAGCAGATCCAAGGCTGGAGGCCCTCAGAGTTTCACTCTGGCTTGAGCAGACGTGGTGACCTCCCAGTTACTGCTCTGTGCCACAGCAAGTATCAGCTTGTCTTCCCCTCCCCGCCCAGCCAGGGAAAACTGCAGCATTTCTAGTTCAGGCCCAGACCCATCCCGGCAGCCCAGATTCCTCTGCCCAGGCAGGAAGCTGATCTCAGCCCCGGGACCATCGCCTCTGGTTTTTGTCGTGCAGGAATTTCTATCCCAGCAGTTTGGAGCAGTGGGGGCAGTGGTCACAGGGCTCTTCCCTGGGCCTCGAGTTTGGGCAGAGGCAAGGACATGGAGGAGGAGAGTCCGTTGCTGATGTTGCTTCACCCCCACATTCCAAGGCAAGGAAAGGAGTTGGGAGGCTGGATTCGCTGTCCAGCTGTCCAGCCTCAACCTTGACTTCGACCCTAGAGCCCAGAGGGGTTTCTCACGTTCCCGAGCGTGCGGGTGGGAGAGACTGGGTCGGCAGGTCTTCCAGACCTGTTCCCTGTGCCGCAGGTGCTGCAGGGAGAACGGGCCCAGACTTGCTGACCTCTCCAGTCCGGCTGTCTAGTGGGAGCCGGGCTGGGAGGGTGTTTGTGTCTGGGGAGGGGAGCATCCCGGGTAGGGAAGCCCAACTTACAAATAACGACACAGGACTCCCAGTTAAATGTCAATTTCAGATGAACAGCAGATATATGAATACACTCAGCAATCGGCTGTTGGTTATCTGAAATTCAGACTCAACTGGGAGTCCTTGATTTTATTTCCCAAGCCCAACAGAGGGACTGGGGCTCTGGCACTGCACTCCCAGGCTCCTCCAACCCCAGCACACCCCCTGCCTGGGCTGCTCCTCCCCGGAAGCGAGATCTTTCCTTGGGCGTTGGCTCTGCAGGCTGCTGCTCAGCGCCCCAGCCCACAGCTCTAGGGCCCCTGTGACTTCAGTTCCCAAACTCTAGAGACTTTCATGTCAACCGTGAATGCTCTGCCTTGCAGCCCCTTTGAAGATGAAAAGCTCTCCTGAGAAGTGAAGGCTCTGTTGTTGTAATTAACATAATGAAAAGCAATTTTTCTCATAGTCCCATAGAAAACTGGGGAACTTCACCTCCTGTAAGGAGACGTCTCCCAGGAGATGGCCGACCACTGCCAGTCCAACCCCAGCCCCTGCCTCCCCGAGTTCCAGCTCCGGCTTGGACTTGGTGGTGCTGTTCTGTTTCAGCCTTCAGATGACTTCTGCAGAAGGCGCCCAGGTCTCCAGCACTCAGCCTCCCCCAGGCCGCCCGCCTGAGTCTACTTCCCTAGGCTGGACACACCCGGTGAATAGTAACCTTTCAACCCAAGATCTGGAGCGGGCCCCAGGGTGCTAGCGGCTGCAGCCTCTCCTCTCAACCAAAGACCCTGCCACGAGGAGAAAATCGCCCCCATTCCCAGAGCCCCGTTATGGCCGTGCAGGGCCTGTGGAGAACACATAAGCCCTCTTCTCCTACAGTGGCTGGTGTCACGGTGGAAACCAGGGAAGCTAAAGGTCTTGGCCAGAGGCCTTCGGAGTCTACTGTCATTGTTACTTCTAGGAGGTGCACCCTTCTGCTTCCCAAGCAGGTGATAAACTGATCCACAGGACGGGTTGCGACATGTCACTCCCTGAAGGATTAGTACAGAGGGGATGCCCGCTGCTTACTGACTGGGCCAGAGCATATCCTGCCTCTCTCTGGACCTCCAGGGCCCCTAGTAGACGGTGCTAGGGCTCCCTGGAATTCCTAGTGAGATTGGTATCCGGCCTAGCAGGCAACTGCCAGAACTTACAGACATGTTCGGTGTGGCTTCCACTGGCAGCACAAGGTCTCTGCTCAAACCAGCCAGAAGCTCAAGACTTTCAGACTGGTGATGACAAATCAGCGCGAGACAAATTTCCCCCACCCAGAACTCTCTTTAATACTTCACGTTGGTCCTCTGTGTTCTCTTAGTAACACAGAAAGAGTCCTGGCACTCAGAGGAATGTGTTCTCAGGACCTCGCCTTTCCAGTCTGCTGCTCTCCTCACAGTGGGCACGCGCACACGCACGCACACTCACTAGAGGCACCCTGCACCCCACATATGCACACTCACCTGGGAGCCACAGAACCACCTCCTGCCCACCCTTTCAGTTTAACTTAATAGAAAACGAAATCACAGGCCATATCAGGCCCTACTGCCCCAGTCTCTTTGAGACCAGCACCAGAACGTGTCAGATGAACTAGGGAGCCTGACGGAGGGTCACAGACAGCCATGATGAGGAAATGCACCTCTGCACAAGACACGGAAGACTCTGGACTGGTGACCCAGGGCCAAGCATGTATCAGACAGGGGGCTGGCACTGGGAACACCACGGCCTCCTTCCAACCCACGCCCTCATTATCAGCCAGGCCCGTGTGCATTGAACGCCCTGGACCTGAGTCACACACAGGTGTGAATGGAGTCTGCACCTTTGAGTGACCCAGCCACCCGGGAGAGGAGGACACCTAGCCATGCAGACAGCAGACATCCTTGGGACTGCTACACTAGAAACAAATTCAGTTATTTTAATTAAAGGCTGGATCACAGGAGCGACTTTCAAGAATGATTGTTCCTCAAATAATATACCCTAGTTAGGAAATAAACCTCAACTACTTTTCTCAGAGAAAGGCCAGTGTTTTCATGTTAAATCAGGAATGCACATTTCTCTGGACTTCTTTTGATGATTTTTCAAGACCTGCTTGCTTTCCAAAGAGTGTGGTTAAAGAAATCCCCCTGGGGTGTCAGCTAACAATCCTCAACCATCACCCACCTCTCTTTACAGTGGAGCCCACTCTGCCCCAAGACTGCCAACAATCTCAGCCATCAAAGGAGCCACAGTCACAGTTACTCTAGGATTAAAGGACAAAATAAATGCTGTGTGGCTCCAGCTTCCCTACCTGCATCCTCAGACAGCGCTAGAGAAGCTATAAGTTTTCAGAGTGGCATGGTACTCACTGCACTCAAAGTCAAATTACAAGGACAGACGTTTGCAATTTCCCTTTGTGGAATTTTCAATGGAAAAAAAGGTACAACAAACTTAATAAAGGCCACTTTTAGTTCAATGTAGTTAAATGCATGAAGAACTCAAGGATAAATGAAAATGCATAGGAAGGCAATACAAAATCCTATTCATAAGAAATATATGGTTGTTAAAGTTTCAGAAAATCTAATGTTTGGGGGGCTTCGCTATCTGAAGAAGATAAGCTGCCCCAATTGTAAGGTAAATCATTGCCCAAGGAAAAAGATTAAGATCAATGAAGTCTACCACACCGGATGGAGTTGGCTCAGGAGGTAGGGCTAGGATGTTAGGATCACACTGGGGAGAGATTTGCCAACAATCAAACATGGGAGAAGAATACTGATTTAAGCAAATATAGATCCACTGTCATTCCATACTGTAAGTCTTAATTTTTCTTTTTTCTTTTCTTTTTTTTTTTTTTTTCTGAAATAGGGTCTCACTATGTAGCCCAGGCTGGCCTCAGATTCATGGCAATCCTCCTGCCTCAGCCTCCCAACTGCTGGGATTATAGGATGTACCACTGTGCCTGGCCATAATTCTTAATTTTTTCAGAGTACAGCCACAGGGAGGTAGCTCAGTAGTAGAGTACTTGCCTAGCATGCACAAGGCCCTGCACTGCAATAAATAAATAAATAAATAAATAAATAAATAAATAAAAGGACCACAATGTGTGCCCTGAGACGTTTTTTCCTTCCCTTTTTCTAAAAGAAAAAAAAGTTCTCATAAATCATCGCATAGAATGATGGGTGGTGTGCAGAAGAATCATGATTTTCTTAGGCAAGATGGCATGTAAATTCGGCCAAGTGTGATGGTGCACACTTGCAATCCCAGCCCTCGGAAGGCTGAGGCAAGAGGACTGCCATGAGTTGGAGGCCAGCCTTGGCAACATAGTGAGTTCAAGGCCAGCCTGAACTGCATAGAGAGACCCTGTCTAAAAAAACCCCCCCAAAACAAACAAACAAAACCAAAAAAAGGCATGTAAATTCAAGTCAGGCCTTCCTGGATTAGATTAATGACTCCCTCCTCTCTATACTAATTTCACTACTGACTTTGTCAGGATGATACTTTGGAGACTCACCAGGTTCTTTCGAGCTTGGATCCTCAGTGTCTGACAGGAAGCTGTGGACTTAACTTGTCAGGACTCGCGCTGGCAGATGGAGGCAGAGTCTCCTGGCCCACAGGAATACAGGGGGCGCGTAGCTTGCAGGAGCTGTGGGGAGTGAGACCTTTGGGTTACTCTGAGATCTTGCCCTGGGCAGCTGTCCGGATCCACTGGGAGACGGCAGGGATCGCATAGTGTCATTCACCGTTTCCCAGTAAACAGAATTCATTACTATCCAAAATTATGACACTTACACCAGGGGACACTTGAGACCCTGGTTTCAAGAACTGTTGAGAAGTAGGAGGAAATATTTGGTAAAAATATTTTGCTGTTTGAAACAGGCCAGGAAGCTCAGGCTGGCCTTGAACTTGCAATCCTCCTGCCTCAGGCTCCCCAGTAGCTGGAACTAGAGGTGTGTGCGTTTCACCACCACGACTAGCAGCTCCGGTCTTGATGGGCAGCACAATACAAACTGCCTGCTCAGGGAAGGCACTGGAAAGGCAGATTTATTGGCTTGTCACCCACACCAGATGTTATTGTGCTTTATCTGAAGTCCAAATCTCTTCACACAGCTGCTCTGAAATCCTTGATCTGTGGCTTTTATGGAATTGGACCTAAGCTCCCCAGCAAGGCACGAGAGGCCCCTCACAGACTGGCTCCTCACCCCCTGACTATTCAACGCCTCCTTGGTTTTCTGTCCACCTGAACGTTCCTTCCCCTCACCCACCCCGAAACCCCGAGTCCACCCGTCCTCTGCAGCTCCCCAGAATGCCCTGTTCCCCTAGAGCAGAATGAAGTCCTTTGTCCTCAGGATTCCTGTAACTCTCTATGTTCCTCCTAGCTCACAGCAGTGTAACATTTGCTAACTGATCTTATGATTTTCAGGACCATAAGATTTTTCCAGGAAAAGTCCCAGGTTTGAGTGTTTAAATCCTTGATGCCTTGTGTCATGCCTGGGGCACGGTAACTGCTTAGTGTTTGAAAGAGAATGAGCATGGGCAAGCTGAGACCTTGCCGGAAAATACGAAAACCAGACTATAGATCTACCAGCATTCCAGCAGAAGCAGCAACACAAAAGATTATCCGCCCAGCCCAGCATCTCAGGCTTATTCTCAACCAGATTAATATAAACTGATAAATTACTTCCAGTGGTGGGCTGGAGCCACGTGAATCATCCCGATAATTCCAACAAAATGTATCACTGACCCAGGCCCTGGGTTTAGCGGTGGCTTATTATGGGTGTAGATGAACAGAAAGGGAGGAACCATTTATAATGCTTTACAATTCTACATTATGTAAAACACATCACAAACTCTTTTCAGACACAATTTCATTTTCTAAAATGCTCCACCTAGGAAGCTTATTTCTCTATATTCAACAAATGGTGTAGAATCCAATGACCACACAGCTTTCTAATTTCTCATTGTGCTAGAACCCTCAGGTTCTGTCTTGAACTACACACGAGCGCGCGAGCGCAGGCACGCACACACACACACACACACACACACACACACACACACACACACACACGTTGTCCTTGTGGTCAACAGAAACAACTCACACAGCCCAAAATCGAGACCACATCAATTTTGAGTTCAACGCCAGCGTTCACTGACTGCCGGATTGGCAGTGCTCCGGGGAGAGCAGACTCTCCAGGCTGGGAGGCGACATCCTGGCTGCTTCCTGGCTGCTTCCTGGGCAGCCCCTTGGCCAGCCCACCCTTCACGGCGGCGTCCTACGACTGTGCTGTCACCCGTGCCCAGTAAGGCTGTGAGCGCCTTAGCGAGACTGCGTGGCTCTGGTTCCTCCTCTCGTGAGCTGCCAGCACATCACACGAGGCATAGGGCAGGGGATTTAGCTCAGTGGTTCCGGCGCCTGCCTCGCAAGCGCAAGGTCCCGAGTTCGATCCCCAGTACCAAAAAAAAACAACAAAAAAAACAAAACTTCACACAAGGCAAGGGTTCAGGAAATAGTTTTTGAATGAACAGCTAAGCTACTTTCGTAATATCAGGAGGGCGGAGAGACTGATTTCTGCCGCAGTCTTAGCGGAGGCTGTCTGGGTTTGGATGTGCAGAGACGTGTGTGTACGCATGCGGTGGAAGAGCTGGTCTTGTAGGTAGGAAACTGACTTAAGACCACTCGGAGAACACGAAACGTGCGCACGTTCGTGTGAGCATGCACGTGTACACACACTCTTCCCCAGACTCTCCCCAGACCTGAACCTTGGTCTGAATGTCTGCATTTTCATCATTAAGCGCTCACCTCTGGCTTGGGGTGGCTCCCTTGTCACATCCGTTCTCACACGTTGCACACCCCTGGCTCCTAGGTCTGCATTGTACCCTCAGAGACCGCGCCTGGCTCTGAGTCTCAGACAGACCCCTGCTTACTTTCTGCAGTCTGCATCAGGGAGTGGTTTTGTCTTCATAAAAATACGGTTACATATCAAAAGAGCTTGTTCAAACTATATATGCTATCATAAAGGATTTAAACACCAGTCTGTATAACTCTGTAAGTTAATAACGATGCTAGGAACAAAAGCACAAACTTGACCGGTCATATTAGAAGATTCAGTGGCCAACTTATTTTTCAAAAATTTTAATTTTTATTAGTACATGTTTTCAGAATGTAATGATTACATTCATTGTGGGGAATTGGTACATGTACATAACACATCCTAACTCTTTTTACATCCTGATGTTGAAAATTAAATGAAGGGGGGAAAAATCAAGCACTTATTCTTTCCTATAAACTGTACCACTGTAGAAGCAACATGTAAGAGAGACATTTGTCCGTAAGTAAGGAAGTACTGCTACAATTAGAATGCTGTCCCCTAAAATAGAGTATGACTGTACTAATGAATTTAAAGATTGCGTTGATATTCGGTAACATCACAAAAAGGCAATCAGACATCCTATACTTTAAGGTGGACATAAATAAAACAACAACTAAAGCAGAGTCTTATCAAAATTCTAGATCCAGCAGTCAATTCATGAGAAATATAGACAGCAGAACATGTTAAACCAACAAAGTGTAAAAAAGAAAAGACACCCATGAGCAAGTCAGAAATTTGGACCTTGAGTTATTATGTATTCAACAATTACTGTTACTTTTTATTTGAAATGATGCCATTATGGCCATGCTTTTTAAAAAGAGTCCTTATTTTTTAGAAATGCATACTCAAATATTCACAGATGAATATAATTTCTGAGATTGGTTTCAAAAATAACACAGAGTGGGGGGAAATGGATGGACATATTTATAGATCAAGAGCACCTTGAGTTGCTAATTGTTGAAGTCGAGTAACAGGTCTATGGAGTTCATTATTCCATTTTGTCTAATTTTCCATAGGATGTTTTGTGAAATTTTCCACAGGATGTTTTTCTTTTAAATTATTAATTGCATTATTCTGAATTTTTTTTTTCTGAATTGGGGATTGAACCCAGGGTCTTTGTTATACCCTGAGCTATATCCTCCAGCCCTTTTAAAATTTTTTATTTTGAGACAGGGTCTTGCTAAGTCTCCAAGTTGCCCGGGCTGGGCTTGAACTCTGTCCTCCTGCACCAGCCTTCCAAAGTGCTGGGATTACTGGTGTGCACCACCACTCCTGGCTTGACATTCTGCCCTAAGAGACAGCTATCCTTCTCTCAGACCTTGAGATCATTATCCTAGGGAGTCTTCAGGAATTTGTAAATACACACGGGAAAGTAACTTACGCATCCATTAACATCTCTTTGTGAACTAATACAGAAGAGTATTTCCTGGACTACGCTTAACCCTGAAAATACTGAGTGCCTGTGAGCAGAGGTAAAAAGCAAACTTTGGGAGAGGAAAAAGGGAGGGCTGAGGGCTGGAAGAGGTGAGAGGACAAACTGCAGTTCATTCCAGTTTTGCTGGGGCTTCATTCACTGGCCTATGCATCTCCGTGCTGTGAATTACCAAGACTGTGAAGACCAGACTTCGACTAGAGGCATGAAAAGGGGTTCAGTTCTTGGTTATCAGGTTAAATCTTCACAAAATATCCCCTTTTGTGTTGTCAAAGGCCAATCTAAATGCTTTTGAGAGAAGGGGGCTTGTTTCCATTGGTCAGTGATCCACTGTGCAGGCTTGGGTGGGACCAGGGCACATTTTTTCCTGAATCCAAGAAGAGCCGAGCCCAGTACGCCAGGCCGAAAAGATGTGGAAACCCGGAGATGGCCCGAGTGTGGTTTCTCATGTACATCTCTGGAAGGACTCCAAGAAATTGGTTGTCTCTGGGGCGAGAAGCTGGAGCCCTTGGAAAGTTGCAAAAGAAGAAAAAAGTGTTTTGTTTTGTTTTTTAATTGTAACAGCCACTTTATACTGTGTCTTAAAATACATGATGACATTCTGCAAACAGCCTTTTGTTGACCTACGCGACTGCACCTTTTATCTTGGAACCAGAGAAGGCAGATGTCTACTTACGGGTTCCTGGGCAGCCAGCTGCTCCCGCATTTCCCTGACTCTCTCGCCCTGTCTGTCTCCCACCCCAGCCAGCCTCCTCGTTTCTAAATAGGAGCAGTAGATGTTGCTACACCTGGCAGGAACAGCTTTCTAGCAGTCTTACCACAACATGGACAATGGGACGTGGTGTAGAGCCAAAGCAAACTCCCCCAGACCCCTAAGAACAGGGAGGCGAGTGGCGTCTGCCGGCTCCTGGTTAGCTTGAGTGTTTGGGTGAATTCTGCAGTTGTTGATTTAGAAATTTTATTTATTTTCTGCATAGAGTCTCACTTTTCGATCCCCCTGGCTCACACTCCCAAGGAGCTGGGATTACAGGCACATACTGCCACACCCAGGGAGTACTTGGTTTTTATAGAACACGATATCACAAAAATTTTATATTTTAGGGGAAAACTTTTTACTCCATTTATTCTATGATCTCAAGTAGCCCCGCACACTGCTGCATATCCCTGAAGTACTAAGTCCTGTTCTGGCGTTTTGAGTTTTGCTCTTTATTTAGTGTTTTTTTGTGGTGGGGGGATGAACCTAGGGCCTTGCACGTGCTAGGCAACAGCTCCGCCCCTGAGCTAGGTCCCCAGGTGCAGTTTAGGTTACTATTCTCACACAGGAAGATCCATGCACTTAAAAGGTACCCCTGAGTCATTCTGCTAATCCCCTTTGCTGAGCTCAGTTCTGACAGGGCTCCCATTCTGCTGTGTTCTCTAGTATTGACTTATGTTTTTCTTAGATGGGGAAGGTTGGGAAAGATTTGTTTTCAGGGACTGTACCAACCTCTCAGAAAATGTAGAGGTGGGGTGAGGGCCACAATCTCAGGCTTGTGGTCCAGTTCTTGACACAACACACAGGTGGACCTTCGTGGGTAAGAACTGGCTGCGTTAGACAAAGGTAGGGTTTCATCGCCTCTTTTTCACTTTTTTTTGGAGACAGCGTCTCACTACATAGCCCAGGCTGGCCTCGAACTTGTAGCAATCCTCCTGCCTCCGCCTCCCAAGTGCTGGGATTACAGGCATGACTCACCATGCCCAGCTTCAGCTCCTCTTCTGCTATTATATAACTTCTCTATTTCCTCACTTACCACAGTAGGCTATTAACAAAGCCTATAGTTGTGACGAAGTAAGGCATGCCAGCTCCCTTAAATGTCAGTAGACAGTACTTTTTTGTGTGTGTGATACAGGGGATGGAAGTCAAGGATTTCACACTGAGCTGGAGCTCCACCCCAGCCCCATTTTAATTTTCTTTTCTTAATTTTGAGTCTGAGTTTTGCTAAATTGCTAGGTTGCTTGGGCTGGGCTGGGACTTGGGATCCTGCTGCCTCAGCCTCCGAGTGCTAGAATTACAGGTGTTTGGCACTTCACCCAGCTTGGTAGACATTTAAAAAATGGTATAATATGAAGATGGCAGAGTGTTTCTTTGGTGTCCAGACACTGGAATACAGGAATGTGAGGAAGAGAATAGAAGGGAAGTGGGTCCTCAGGACCCAGCAAGGATCCGAAAGCAAGAATCAAAGCTCATGGGGAGAGTGAAGAGAAGACCACAATGCAGAAAAAGGAGGTGACAAGTGGCGCTTTCTCCCTGAGCCCTGACTCACTGCACGGGAGGGGCAGTTTGAACCTTCTGATGCAGTGACCACTGGTGACCCCAGAGGTCTCTGTGGAGAAATGCACCAGTGGAACAGACCAGTGGATGCAGCAGACTGCAGTGGCTGGTGAGTTACTTGGGCTCAGATGTCCCCCAGGAGAGGGTGATTGGCCAGTAACCATTTTGGTTAGGGGCCAACTGAGCAAGGAATTCTGACCAGCTGTGGGCTGGCTCCATCTTTTGGCTCCCAGGGTCAGGGTGAAGCAGAACTTGTTGGCAGGAGGTCAAGGAGCCAAGTTAAAGCTGGTAGGAAGCCGAGTTTAAGCAAGCAGGAGGTACACAGAATGTTGCAGGCTGAACAAATCAGGTTCCAACCTCACAATCAGAAACCAGCCTGAATTTCAGTGGAACTAAAAGTGCAGACTTCCTGGGATTATACACTACCCCACCATAAACAGACTGTGGGCTTGCTGAGATCAAACAACAGGGATCTGGGATCTGTCTGCCCAGTCTGTCTACCAGTGACAGCAGAAACATGCCCTGAAGTGGATATTTTTTCTTCTTGTTTTATTTTGTTTTCTTTCTCTTTTTTGGTTTATTCTTGGTTTTGTATGAGTGTGAACATTATTTCCAGTATTTTTGTTGTTATTCTGCTTTGTTCCTGTTTTATTTCTTTCTTTTCTCTTTCCTCCTGTCTTCTTCACCAGCTTCCAAAGTCTGTGTGATCTTCCTCTGTGCTCCAGCCTTGTTCCTAATCCCTTCCTCTTCTTCTATTTCTCTATTTTTCCCCCAACCCCTTTTAAATTTTGTCCCATGAAGGTAAAATCACCATATTTAGGGGATATTTACTGTCTAAATTTTCTGGTTTCTTTTAGATTTTGTTATATAACCACAGATATAGTTCATATGGTTAAAGGTGGCAAATAGTGACCACTGTTTGTCATTTTCTACACTGTTTGATGCTATTGTTATTGCTGATTGTAGGACTTTAGCCAAGGTGACATAATTGTTCTAATCAGTTGTTCTTCCTGGTACACAGGACTGAGATTGCCTAAGGGTCATAAACAATACTATAGGCCAAAGAACCAGGGGCTAGGTCAATAGGCAGCATCTTCTCATCCCCAATAAACTGAAGAGGTAGGATCTTGCAACAGACTCAAACCCCCAAAGCCAGCTACACCTGGAAGACATCTCTGAGAAGTAGTCATTTCCTAAGGGTTCTCAATACTGGCAATAAAGCTACCTTCCATTAGTAATTTACAAGCATTAACCCAGGAATTACACTAAAAAAAAATAGAAAATGAGAAGACACTTAAGCAAGATGCAACTCCCCCAGACTTCCAGCTCGCCAAAGGCAAACCCAGGGGGCAATGAGGTGGAACAATTTGAAAGCCACCCACCTGGACTCTGAAGTGCTAACAGCAGAAGTAACAAAGCAGATGAATGAGGCTCTAGAAAAAAATCAAAGCAGAAATAATTTCTCAGATAACTACAGAGATGGTGACCATAATGAAAGACATGGTTACTGACTCTAGAGCAGATACAGATAGAACAGATGATTTGGAAACCATGATTGCCTAACATAGGAAAGAAAAGGAATCCATGAAATAGATTCAAACAAAAACTAAAAACTTTCACTCTAAAATCAGAAACAAGGATGTCCACTATCACCACTTTTATTCAGTATACTTCTGGAATTATTAGCCAGAGCAATTAGACAAGAAAAAGAAATAAAAAAAATAAGGATAGGAAAGGAAGAAGTTAAATTATTATTTGCAGATGACATGATACTCTACATAGAACACACCAAAACTCTAACCAAGACTTCTAGATTTGATAACCAAATTCAGTAGCATAGCTGGATATAAAGTCAACACTCAAAAATCAATAGCATTCCTGTACACAAATAAACTCTCTGAGAGAGAAATTAGGGAAACAACACCTCTCACAATAGCATCCAGGGCTGGGGATTTAGCTCAGTGGCACCAGACCTGTCTGGCAAGCACAAGGGCCTCAGTTTGATCCCTGGTACAAAAACAAACAAACAAACAAAACCCAAACATCAAAAAAAAGAGAAATACCTAGGAATTACTCTAACAAAGGAAGTAAAAGACCTTTACATTGAAAACTACAGTACTCTGAAAAAAGAGATGGAAGAGGATATCAGAAAATGGAAAAATATCCCTTGTTCTTGATTGGGTAGGAAGAACCAATATAGTGAAAATGGCCATACTCCCAGAATTGCTATAGAGATTTAATGCAATCCCAATCAAAATACTAATAACATAGCTCACAGAATTACAGAAAACAATCCCAAAATTCATTTGGAACCAGAAGAGACCTAGAATGGTAAAAGAAATTCTAGGCAACAAAGGCAAGGCAGCAGGCTTCACAATCCCTCACTTGAAATTATACTACAAAGCTACTGTGATAAAAAGAGCATGTTACTGACAAGAAAAAAAAATCCAAGGATCAATGGAACAGATTAGAAGAGGCAGAAATAACTCCAAACACACTCAGCCACCTTATCTTTGACAAAGGAGCCAAACACCTTCACTGGAAGAAAGCCACTTTAATAAATGGTGCTGGAAAAACTGGCTTTCCACATGCAGAAGATTAAAACTAGACCCATAGCTGGGCATGGTGGTGCCCACATGTAATCCCAGCACTTGGGAGGCTGAGGCAGGAGGATCAATTTCAGTTTGAGGCCAGCCTGAGCTACACAGTGAGTTCAAGGCCAACCTGAACTACTCTAAAATAAAACTAGATCCATATCTTTTACCACGCACTAAACAAAAATTGAAATAGATCAAAGATCTAAATATTAAAACAGAAACACTAAATCTGCTGGAAGATGGAATAGGTAGAACTCTTGAAGACATTGGTGTAGGCTATAACTTTATGAACAAAACCTACGTTGCACAGGAAATATCAGAAAGAATCAACAACCGGGATTTCATCTTATTAAAAAGCTTTTGGGGCTGGGGATTTAGCTCAGTGGTTTCACTGCCTGCTGCACAAGCGCAAGGACCCGAGTTTGATCCCTGGTACAAAAAAAAAAAAAGAAAAGCTTTTGCACAGCAAAAGAAATCACCAACCGAGTGAAGAGGCAACCCACAGTGGGGGAAAATATTTCTATCAGATGTTCCTCAGATAAAGGTCTACTATCTAGAATATATAAAGAACTCAAAAAAAAAAAAAAATCACCCCCCCCCAATTTAAAGACCCAATCCAAAAATGGGCCTCTGAAATGAATAGGCTCTTCTCAGATGAGTAGAAATGGCAAATAAATACATGAAAAAATTTTCAACATCACTGGTCATTGGAGAGATGCAAATTAAAACAACACTGAGATTCCATCTCATTTCAGAAAGAATGTTATCAAGAAATCAACCAATAACAATTGCTGGAGGGGCTGTGGGGGAAAAAGAACCCTTCTCCAACGTTGATGGGAGTGTAGACTGGTGCAACCATGGTGGAAATCAATGTGGAGGTTCCTCAAAAAGCTAAAAGTAGAGGTTCCATTTAGCCCAGCTATTTCCCTTTTTGGTATCTTCCCAAAATAATTAAGAGCATCACACCACAGTGATATATGCACACCCATGTTTACAGCAGCACAGTTTATAAGAGACAAATCTTGGAAACAGGGGTGGGGATTTAGCTCAGTGGTTCAGGCGCCTGCCTCGCAAGCGCAAGGTCCCGAGTTCGATCCCCGGTACAAAAAAAAAAAAAAAAATGTAAATAATTCAGAAATGTTTAATGCAGAAACTG